GAGAGAAACAAAGTGAGAGATGCAAATGGGCTACTGATTACTTATGTGCTGGTTTTCATTCAGAAGTATTTGAGCCCTTTGTAAAGATAAGTTAGGAAATCGATGCATCAGGAAAAAGACTTGCTAAGACAGCAATAAAAAAAATGCCAGTTAGGCACAGTCCTTTGAGAATATGCCTAGAAATTACTGTGCTGAAGAGCTGTGTAAAACAGCAGCTTCCCCAAGGATTCCCCAAGGTGAGGCCAAAACCTAGATGCTTGGGGGAAAAAAACAGAAATAAGAAAAACAAAGAGTAAAAAAGCATATATTTACCCTTTGACCCTGAGACTTGGCTGAGTTCTCATAAACAGAGTTTTAACAAGTATACCTCAGCCTCTTTACAGCCCGTGACAGATGCACATCTGAAACTGATGCCCTGTGTCACTGCTCTCAATTACATGAGGTGAAGGCAGCAGTAAATTACACTTTCATCTCACACTGATCACCTCTAAGGACCCCTGATGACTTCAGAATGTGGGAAGACTGTGATGTGAAATGGGCTTGCCTCATTTATACCCATGGGCTGCAACATAAGTAAAAGCAACCACTTCTAATAAACTGAATACAGATCAACTAGCCAGAGTACAGCTGGACAATCATTTCCATAGATCAACTGCTCATCTTCCCTAAAAGCTTTTCCTTCCCCCTCCACTCTCCTAGAAGGAAGGACAAGAGCTCTGCTTAGAACTCCCTGAAACACCACACAACTGGGCAAAGAATGTGGCTTCATGCAAAGCAGTAGGTCAAAACCAGAACCGCTAGGTTTAATGATTATCTTCAAAATAGTGTTTTTATGGCTTTTAAGGTACCACAGATTCTGCTTGACCACGGGGTGAAGCTCATCTAGACCCAACCTTTGCTACTGAAGGTCTTTCCTTCTCATCACTGCCTTAAAGACAGGAGAACCTTTGATGAAGAACTGAAAAATCTGTCTCCCCTTGCAGCAGAGGTTCTTATCACCACATTTTCCTGTGGGCAGTAGGTGAGAGACATTGAGTGTTACTCAAGTGCTACCACATCCCCTGTTTCCCCTGGACAACAGGATACTGAGCAATGCCAACAACCCCAACATTTTACTTTCCTTTTAAGAGGTAGGAGCTCCTAGAAGGATAATTGAAAATAATGCTGGGAGAGATCTCAAGGAACCATCTAGTTCATCTCTCCTGTCCCAAACAGAATTCAAATATATCAATTCCTTCCTAGCAGCTGTTTGCTTAAAAGCATGCAAAGATGGAGATTTTTACTCCTCTTGGCAGGGCATGCTGCCGCAGGGTGAACTTGAGCAAAGGAAGATTTGTATTTGGATTGCCACCTGTATTCCAATCACATCCGTAAGCTCTTCTCATAGGAGCAGTCACTGCCTTTCCTAATGAACAGTCTCTCTCAGAAACTTGACTGGAGCAGTTGGGTACAAATAAGCAGCTGTCCCTCAACTCTGATGAAAAAGAGCTGGAATCCAATCATGCCTACCCTTCCTCTGTGGTCTCAATGACCAGATGGACCTGCAAGGTGGTAGGTGCATACAAACTTTGTCCTTGCTATGCAGCATTTCCTTGCTGTTCTCAATGACTTAACATCTCAGGGATACTCACAGTGGTATTCAACTTGCATCCCTAAAATAGAAGCTTGAGTTTCTCTATAGTCAACAGCAAGCTGGTTTCCTCTGCAGAGTGACTCAGAACACCTAAACTGGGAGCCTAAGCTTCTCCATGTGACTCTAGATGGTTTATGATTTAGATGGCGTGCAGCACTCCTCTCTTCCTCCCCCAGGCAAACAAAGTAAATGCCCTCTGGTGTGTGTCCCATCTAGTCAGAGGTTTTGATTAACCAGACTCTTCTCCTATCATACTTGGAGTGCACAACTGGTGCAGGGTCTCCAGCACAAACTCTCGGGGCTAGACACGTGAAGATGAGGAAGCAGCATCAGAAAGATAAACCACAAGATAAGGCCTGGAGGATATGAGATCTGCTGGTCTTTAGCTTCAGAGCACCCAAAAGAAGAAACTTGCATGCAAAATGCAGTTTACAAAAAGTAAGTAGTGCGGGCCAACACTGCACAGCAACAACTAGCCAGCATCTCTTCCTCCAGAAGCTTCAGCTGGGTAACTACTCATATAGAGGGTTAAGTTGGTTGGTTTTTTTACAAGATTCTATTTTAGAAAAGGTAATCAAAATAGTGGAAAAGCAGCATATCGAAAATGGGTGTAAAACGTGTGGGACATGATTGGGACATTCAGCCTCAGTTTAAATCCCATCAGGCTTCTCCCACTCAGGGCAAGCTTGGCTTCTCAATATTTAACTCCAAACGTCTAAGAGATAGCACTGGATTCAAGAAAGTTAACAAAAGTTGAAATTTCTTGGGGGGAAAGAAGGGGAAAAAAAAAAAAAAGAAAAGAAAACTTAAAGCCAAATGACTTATGACATGAAAGCTTTGGATTTTACAAGCCTTCCCAAGTTTCAGATGTCATAAACCATACAGGTGCAACTATCTCATTTTTCGGCAGCCATATGAACCTTGTTAAAGTGAATACAAATCCAATGAATACTTCCAGGTTTATAATAAGCCTTCATAAAGAAACTATCCATATTCTCCCCAGATGCAGGCACAGCTGTGCAGAGACACATCTGCTTGGGAAACTAACGTGGATTATTGAATTTATAGTTTAAGATCCTTAGCTTGATGGCAAATTATGACAAAGCTAGGGATATCAGTTCCTGTCCCCAACAGAAAATATAAATCCTGCTTTGATTGATATTGATTACAGGAAGGAAACAAAGCACTTATATTTCCTCATGTCACGAGAAACTCCTCTAGTGCAATAAACATCCGGTTGATAGGAGTATCTTGGGAAGGTAAATGATACTATACTTGTAAGCAAACTGAGAAAAGAACAAGTGCTGATTAGCCATGCAGTTCATACATCCATGTAGTGCCAAACACACCACAGCAGACTATGAGTTTGTCAGATTCATAAACCAAAGAGATTGCATATATTAAAGTTTGTATGTCAAATGTGATTGCTGTTTATTATAATCCTGCACCCTTTACTCAAATATCCAGTCCATACGTGTAAGTCCAGCTCAACCAAAGTAAACAAATTCATTAATTTAACGGTTTATGGCTTGATTTTTGTAAGGGAGTGAGGCTGCAGGGGACTATCTAACATATGTTTGAAGTTAAGCACAAATCAACCCAGTGAAATTAGTGGTATTTATCACCTGCTTAAAATCAAGCATAAACTTTAACATTTCCCTGGTTCATGCTTGCTTTAGCCAGTCCTGAGTGTGACAGAAACATCTGTAGGATGCACCCTAACTTTGCTTAGTGAAAGCTGTAGCTGATCTGTACAGCTGCCATGCATCATTACCAGCAGTATCACGCTGACACCTTTCAACCCCGACCAAAAGCCTAACTTTCCTTCCTGAATGGCACCGGCTGAAATGAGGAGGAAATGAGTGAAAAGACTGATGTGGCCCCACGTGGCCACAGTGCAGCTACTCAGACATTATTTTACGCTACCCTCTGAAAGGGGAAGGAAAATTCACCCTCCACAACAGAATAAGTGTTTAGCTCATCCACCCCTCAGCTCAGCAAAGGGCCAAAGTTTGTTACCTCCGTCACTGTGAGCTTGGGTTATGTTCACTGGTTTCAGTAGGATGACTTCCCTTCTCACCAGCATAGCTAGGACCAGAATTGGACCCTTTAGAGCAATATAAATAATACTTCAAAAGAGATGAAAAATTCTGTTTCTGTCGTGACATCAGCCCAAATCACAAGAGAGCTCCTGCCTAAACGACTCATTCACCCTTTTTCTATAGCATTACAACATAGAAAAAAATATGTCCTGTCTATATTTACAGCTTTAGAGAGGCCATTCTTGAGATCACCCCCACTGCTATATAACTACCTTGTCCTGCTGTCTGTCTCCTTATCATACAGCTACTATCACTAGTACAGGTTTCCCTTTGGTGGTATATATCCATGACAAAAAGGCAGCATTACCACAGATGACAAGCAGGACTTCATGCAAGGTGGGACACAATGTCAGCAAGTTACATATAAACCAGGCACTGGACTGAAATAGATGTACTGAGAGCTGGAATTACATGTGGGTGAAATTCTCTGACCTAAACTTAAATGGGCTTAAAATTAGAAGTTCTACTACATAACCAGAGGGGGGGGGGGAGGGAGGAAAATTGCTAAGGAAAAAGCAAACACGTGAAAGACAGTTCTAGCAAAAGGCAGCTGTTAACTCTAGAGAAACTCCAGTTTAATACCCATGCCTTCCTAATCCAGCTCCCATACAGGCCAATGAAGGCTGCTTTGCCTTTCTTTAAACTTCAAGAGAATGTGTTTGAGCCTTGTACAGCTTGGCTGTACAGATCAGAGAGCAGGAGGGGCTAGATGCATGCAGAAACACAGGTAGCAATTCTGCTGCATGGACTTGCTCTGTAGGAAGCACAGCTCCAAACCCCTCCCTCATCCCCAGCAGGAGGATGTGGTATCTCAGACCTAACACCATCTGCTAGTTACTCTATCTGAGTTTGGTAGGTTACTACAAACATGTAGCCTGAAAGCCAGGGTTGACGTTTGTACATTTTTAACTTCACAAAAAGCCCCAGTTTACGCAGAAGAGTCTCATCAAGGTAAAATGGGCTCAGCTGGAATTCAGGACAGCTGGGCATCTTGCAACAGGGTTGGGTCACAGGAGGTTTAACATACAGCCCAGAAAAGGTGGCAAATACTTTGCCTAAATTCCTGAGCCTTTGCAAGCTAATCAATCCAAACCAGCTTTCCAAACATCTAGGACTTCACCACAGTTCAACTTCAGACACTTTATGCACATCTACAAACACACCCAGGTTCACACGGTCCTCCTCTTTCATGCTCGGGCCCCAGCTTTCAGAAAACAACTCACCCTCCCATTGTTCCTCTATGGAGCTGTTCTCCAAGCCCTTACCTGCACGACGGGATGGCCTCCGGTTGGTGCCTTTACGGCCCCTCTGCTTCCCTCCGTCTCATAGTGCGCCCGGTGGTGGGGCTTCGGCTGTACCTCGATCCGCAGCTCGTACGAGCCGGACTGGCTGGAGAGTGGCCACTCGAGGGGCGGGAGTGACTGGACGGGCAGGCTGGGCAGAGAGAGACCACATCAGCTGAGATGCTTTAGCACTTGATTTCTCACCGCCCTGACCCCTCCTTCCTCCAAGTGCCCCAGCAGCGCTGCCCCCACTGAAATGTTTAGGGGTCTGCTATTAATTACAATGAGAACATGCTATCCTGCTCACACTTGATTACAAATTCTGCTGAAATTCAGGATGAATGCAATAATTTCTATGGGCCTATATCCTTGTAGAAGAGAACAGAATATTTCTATTTCTTCCATAGAAATATCTGTAGCAGTTATATTTTTCCAAAGATCCCCCTCTTATTTGACTTTTACTGTGCATCTTAAACTGTGATCACAGAATTTCTGATACTTCAAGAGATGTAACATTCTATTTCTGTAGTGATATCAGCCCAAAAGTTGAGAGAGCTCCTGCCTAAACTACTCATTTACCCTTTCTCTATAGCATTACAGCACTGATAAAGCATGTTCTCTCTGTATTTACAGCTTTTCTTCTGGAAGATCACATTTCATATATGTCCTGAAACAGTAAGTCCATTTATCCTTACGAGCTATGTACCTTAATAATCCTTATGATTTCCATAAATACTAAAATACACACAAATGAAATGCTAAATATTCTTACCTCTTGCTAGTTTTCCTGTCACCAAAATAAGCAAGAGTTTATAACATTAAATTCATACACTGACAACTACAGCCTGCACTGGATTTTAAACAACTCCTACTTTGTGAATACAAACTGCTGCCAGGACCCATCTAACAGGCCAAGGACAGTCACAGGCCATGGTGTTTCACTCACAATTTGTGTTTAGTGGGTCAGGAGCAGCACGGGATAACATCAGCACAGGGACAACCTTACTGCCGAGGAGGATGGCAGGACTGACAGGGTGCCAGTGGTGACTGCAAGTGGAGTCACCCATTTGGCAACCTCCATCCTGGCAGATCCACAGCACAGGGTCCAGCCGTCAGTGCCAGACAATGCAGGGAGCTGATGAGGGTAGTTCCAACTGAGATTTGGGTTAACCGACAATTAACAAATTAACAACCAACAATAAGTCACTTGGGGTTGACAAAATGCTCAGTCTGACTGGGAGCAGCATGCTCTATTTTGAATCAGGAAATACTTAAAGTATTTTCATCCTTGATTGAAATTTGCAAGTGAGACATTCTCTGACTTCAGAAATGCAATCAAACTATCTTCTTTAAAAGCAGCAAGATGGAATGAGAGCATTGAGCCTTTGTCAGAGGCTGTTTGCAATCAGCTTTTTAGACAAATAACCTGGAAATCTGAATTTATCATTTGCTGCACTACAAATGAACATTTTGATGGTATTTCTTCCAAATTCAGATTCTTTATTTCTTGGAATCATAATGGATTTGGCTTACAATAACCAGTGCTGCTCCTGAGCACTTACCTTTGGTTTGCAGTAGGTCCTGCCCAAGAAAACACTCCCTAGGGATCATCATGAATGACAGAGGACATCACACCGTGAGAAAACACACAGCTACAAGAAGCATTACATACCTGCAGATAGGTATTGCAGGCACCAGTTGCTTTGTCCAGGATGGAGGTACCAACAAAATTGATTCTGGGGCTGAGTTTCTCCTGTCTTCCTGCTCGCAAGGCCCATGGAAGTCAACACTCTGAAAGACGTGACATGGAATGCTGTTTTTGTGGGAAGGCATTGATGAAGGATCGGGGCTGGTTTTCCAAATTTTCGTGGGAACGCCGCAGGAAGGATCCGCAGGAAGGCTGCTCATAGCATCCATGGAAAGGGGAGCACTGGGCAACTGCGTGTAAGTAACTGAAGAGTTGTCTTCTCTCAAGGGGACGCGAGGAGAGGATTGTGGAGAGGGGGTCCTTGACTGTCGTGGAGAAGTGGAAGGCAGCTGAGTACTGTAGAGCTCAGTGCAAGAATACCTCCGTTTTGCACCGGGTGATGAAGACCTTGAGTTGGGACAGGGTGATGGTGAATGGCGTCCCAAGCAGGTTTCCTCCGTGATGCTTGTTCGTGGTGACATTATTGGAGAGGTTCTAGGAGAATAATGAGTATGGATGTTTTGAAACTGTGGACAAAGGTCATCACTAGGACCATTATTTGGTGAAACACATGGTGATGTGCAAGGAGATACATTTGTCTCTGAAATGAAACTTGCAGAGGAGCCGCTACTAGCTGGGCTCAAACACAGTGGTTCTCTGTAGCCCTCAAAGCCAGGGACAGGCAGGGTAACCCTTGGGCTAGTGGTAGCTGAGTTTGACTGATGTTCTACCAAAAGAACATCTGTGTCTCTGCTGCGGAAGGGACCCCCTGAATGAATCAGTTCATGATATGGAGTAATTTCAATCCTAGGGCTCGGAGCAGAGGCCCCTGCAGCGTTGGCAGGGTGTGTAGGTGTTGTCCCTATGCTATCTGGCTGTCCATATCTGCCCATGGGATCTGCAGAAAGGCTAGAAAAAGGCAGGGGGCATGGCTTGAGGCCACAGTCCAGGACATCATGAGCGTATGTAACTCCAGAGGGTGGGCTGTTGGTTTTATGTGGAGTCGGTTCTTCTGGAAAAAGAAGGGTCTCTTTAAGACTATAAATATTATTACAGAAGCCGAGCAATCATGGATTAAAAATAATGCATATTTATTTATAACCTGTTTGTGATCTGATATTAGGTAAATAATTGTTTAATTCCCTTTAACTACAATTAATGCTTGTGAAAAGTACTGGATTAACAGCCAGGGAAGCTTAAGTGCTCAGAGTAGATGCAGCATGGATAGAAGCACTGCAAACACCTCCACACCGCCCAGCTGGGCTCCCACTACCTGAGCCCTGAGCTAGAGGGATGATCCCGAAGGACTGGGCCTCTACGCCCGTTCCAATGCTGCCTTTCCTACTCCTTCTGCTAAATATACCACTTAGTGCCAATTGGGGCGTTGTGACTTTGATCAGCTTTTGCCAAGTAGGAGCTGGACTGAGACCATCACATCACAAAATCATTTCCAAAGAGGTCTATACAAAACCAAAAAGCTGAGGAACAGCTTTTGGTGAAGGGAGAAAACCCTTTCTTACACAGCAAATTCCAGCCAGAAAAGGCTTCATGAAACCAAAGCTGAGCTCAAGTTCTTAAATTAAGAAGTCAGTTCTGTGTGATGATTTGTTTGGCTCCATGTCAATGAGTTTTGGTGATAGGTTTCACATAAGTAAGCACCAGATGATCAGAAAACACATTCACAAATGTATGGTACAAAAGGGAGAAGTAGAAAAGATCCAGCCCCACAGTTACAGGCAATCACTTTCCAATTTCAGCTCAAGGAACATTTTGGCCAGAGATGGATTATAAACTACACAGTAACAGGTATATATTCAGCGCAGCACTTTCTCCTGGTGCAGAAAATACTCAATTTTCAGATATTCTCAGTCTTGCAAACTATTCCCAGGTTGTAGAGTACAGGGATACAGCTAGGCAACACAGAATCCCCACCAGCATCACTGATCTCTTCCCAGCACCCTATTGGGTGCTTAATGCCAGCAGCATCTGAGAAAGCAGAGTAATGCCAGGTATTATAATCCCTGGAAGAGAGCCCTCGATGCACATCAGCTCCTGTAGCTTCCCCAGCCGGGGAGCTGAATAATATTTGTCATTACACAAAAGCATGCAAAATATTGTTAGGATTTTTATATGGTTTGAAAGATTTCAATGTATTCAGCAGGAAATACCTGAAACAGCTCTGCAGTTTGAGATTAATTCAGACTGCATGCCCCGGGCACACATCAGTAAGTGTCATAGGCAGAGATTCATTTAAATATTTAAATAACTGTTCCAGCATTTCTCTAACTCCTATACTACATGAGGCAGAACTTCCCAACCTGGAGAAAACTCCACTAAAAGAAAAAGGTAACAGGAACTGCTGAGCCTTTGTGTTTAGCAGGAATCCCTGACAGCCGACCAAACAAACCAACACACAGAGTGTCTATGTGACGGGATGGGAGATGAATGGGAGAGTCCAGCTTGCAGATTTCTTAAGGTTCCCTCTGGCTTTTAATCCCAGCACACAGCTGTTCTGGGGATGGGAAAACAGCAACAAGGAACTTGAGTTCTGAGCCGAATGTATTTTTAGCATCGTTGATCTCCGATATCAGAGCTTTGGCATTCAAAGGAAGAGTGCGTCATTCACATCACTCAAACTCTGACGCATCGAGCCTAGATACTGATGCTACGATTCACTCTGAATTAAACTCATCACTCTTTCAGACTCAACAGAGCAACACACCCCTCCGCACACAACATCACTCCCATCACCTTCAGAAGAAATGCTCCGATTTAAGCTGATGCAAGGGAGCAAAATCAGCATCACACCAAGCAAGGCTTGATGCCAGGACTTGAAGCAGGGTTTGTACAGTGACCAGCAACTGCAGGAAAGCTCTGAACAGCTTCACATCAAGCAACAGGTGACTGTTTCACTTCCCATTCAACACACCTAAGTAAAAGCGGCTCCCACTATACTCGTTAAACCACATCATCTATGCCAGATACACAGACAACACATAAAGAATTAAAACTCCTCACACCAGACTGTGCAGCAAAGCTAGCATGTGTAAATTGGTGTTGAGGGGTATGGGAAAAGCAAACACATACTTGTACGTGCACATGCAATTTTTAAAGTCTGAATAACAACAGATGCCACCACCCATACTTCCTGCCCACTAAAAACTGGGGTTTAGATAACCTAAATCTCCTTTGCCTTTCCCTGAAATACTGTGTTTAAAGGAGCACTTTCACCCCTGGCATTCACCCTCCTGAAGGAACCATGTTCAAGCACAACAACAAGCTGCAACGTGCCCTTGCCTTCACACAGCACTCCCGGGCAGTGCTCTATGGGCTGTGCAGAGCCGAGTGCTCACAGGCAGCAAGCAAGGCAGGTGCCCTGTGCCAAGCAGACAACACCCACAGCCTTCTGTAGAGCAAAAATATTTAGTTTCCCCCACATGACAAGTTATCAATAGAGCAGGCAGCAGCACAGGAATGTGGGCAAGACTGCAGACAAGAAAACCTCGGCTCGTTTGAAGAGAGCCGGGGGAACTGTGCCAGGTAGAGATGCCCAGAGGCTGAGGCTGCGTCTCGGGCAGGGGAGAGGCTGCCAGCCCTGACTCATCGGCATGGCTTCGTCAGGACCTGGGGCTTGAGGGGTTTGGGGAGATCTCCTGACAGAGTCCCAGCCCTGCAGAGCTCGAGGTACAATGAAATCACTGTCCCGTGCGCTATTGCCTACGCCTGCAACATCAAGGTCTGTAGCCATGGAAATGCCGGTGATGCTACAATCAAGGCTCTGACCTCACCCCGGAAGGGAAAAGGGGCAAATGCTGCTCTCCAGAAACAAACAGTTCTTCCATCAAAATCGGGAGAAATTCTGCTTTTTGTTTCAATAGGAGGGGACCGGCTATCCCATTCCCAGCCAACTTGGCTAAGGCAGGCTGGTGTTTGGAATCTGCTTGAGAAAGGAGCAGACCACAGCCAACATCCCAGCTTCCCCACGTGAACATCACAGGAGTTTGGTTTTGTAAACAGTATCAAGCTCCTGCCCTTGCAAGCTGGGACACACACACACAGGACAAGGAGAGGTTGCTCCCCTGCAGCCCAGCTGCTTTCCCTCTGCAGATACCAGTGGGAATGTGGAGCAGCCCAGGGCACAGGAATGGCTCCAGGCAGATGACTCCGGCAATACCCATGCCTCTCCCTGGGCTGCCAAAGTGAGAGCATGGTTAGGGTGGCAAGAGCTGAGGGCAGCAGACCACACACTGCTGGCCCTCTGCTACACATCTGGAGACAGCAGAGAGCAGCCCAGTCACCCACTAGCTGGGCTCCGCAAGGAGATAAGAGGCCATTGCACCCCCTTACAAGAGAATAATCATGCGACGGATCACCCTGGTAAAGATGTTTTTTAAGAACTGAATCTGCTTTGAAACCTTTGTACCTCTGAGCATTCACACAGCTGTGGCGCCCCACCTTCAAGGGTTCATGCACTCCTACACAGAATCATAGAATAGTTAGGGTTGGAAAGGACCTTAAGATCATCTAGTTCCAACCCCCCTGCATATTGCATCCCAGAACACAGGCTGAAATACTCCAGCAAAGGACCATCCTCTCAGCTGTTTTTCTCAGTGAGCAGCACGTCAGTTCCAGCACAGCTCCTCCAAACACCCCTCTGTACAAGCAGTACAGTGCTTCCACGCCTCCTTTCAACCAGGCATTTCCCAGCCTGAGGTTTCACTGCTGAATCATCCTCTGAATCAGTACCAAAAGATCCTTCTTGTTTGACAGGGGGTTAAAAGAAAGTGAGATTCACACCCAGACAACACTGACACCTCTTCATGTTCTCAGGCAGCAAACAGCCTATTCCCCTATGTCACCCAAGTCCCATAACCACTGAAGCCCCCCTGCATCCTACCCCAAGCAGCCAACTCTTATTCCCTTCTTTTTCCATAGCCTTAACCAGTTACTAGTTCACAAAACCATCTCTCCCTACAATAGGGAAGAGAGGCAGGGCTCTGCACGCTACCATGTTGTAAACTAACAGCAAAGCAGCTCCTACAGACAGGCTCATGAAAACCACAGGCAGCTCTACCAACCATCTATCTGCTCACTGGGCAGCCTCCCCAGGTGGGTACCTGCTTTCAGGGCTGCCCTAAGTGCCCATAAGCAAGGAGAGACAAAACTCAGGTGAGAAAGATCAAGGGATTTAAGTTTCAAAGGACTTCACCCTTGATTCAAAAGCTCCTTTTCACACAGCTCTGAAAGGCAGAAAGGAAAACCCATGCCAGGTCCTGCCAGGCTCCAGAGACTCCCCAGGCTGGACAGGACACACACCAGTGTGTGCACACATGGCTCTGCAAGGGCCCACCCTCTGCTGTTTGTTAAACTAGGCAGTAACTTCAAAGCCCTTCAGTTAGCCAAATATGACCTTGCCAATTAGCATGAAATTAGGGAACAACAGATCACCCGGAGCAACTGCATTCCCCAATGGGCTTAAACAGATCACCATCTAGGGAAAGCTCAAGATAGCCAAGGGAGGGCAGGGGGAGAAGTTTGGATTTGACTTCACACCCGTTTGCTGCAGTGCAGCTCCTGGGATCTGAACGGAGTTCCTTATTTGCATAAAAGTCAATGGTTTTTAATGAATTTGCTTATTGTCACTTGAAGGGGCCAGTCCAGAGCTTTTTGCATTTTTCAAGAGCCGAGTCGTCTGGTATTTACACTAGCTGCTTGGAAGCTCAAAGTGAAAGTTGGTTTCCTGAGTGAAATCTGGTATTCTCTGTTACATGTGCATATTTGTTTCTTCACTGCAGGGCTACCGCTGAACACTGCCTCCTGTGTTAGCGAGCCAGTCACCAGGACCGGGCTGCAAGCATTTATTTTTTCCTTTTAATAGCTTTGCATTGGGATGGAAAGAAGGAATGAAGCAAATTACACAGGGCTTGACACCTATAAGACGTGGCAACATCCCTGGGAGCCTGTCTATGTACAAACAAGCATCTAGAGGAACATTAATATTTATGGCTGCTCCCCCTCTATTATATATACATCGACCTTGCAGATTCATATCACCAGATGCAATGTAAGGGTCTGCTGATCTACAGCAAAGGCTTGAACCTACAAGAAAATGCTTCTTCCCATTTCCATTCTCACCTGCTGTCTTAGGGCAGGAGGGTGTCTGGTTTCTTGTTTAAAGATGGGTTTTGTATAGACTTTAAGTTTCAAAATACACCTCAGAGGATCAGTTCTCAGAAGGGCTAACCTCAAATATTAAAAACTGTGTGGCAGCTTTACCTATCAGTGGATCATCCCACAGCAAACACAAAAATACATGGAGAGAGCTGCTGAAGTAGAGCAGTTGTCTGGCTTTTCAGTATTTTGTCTCTCATAGTGGCCAACAACAAGTATTATGGTATGCAAAAGCAGTTATCAGAACTTACTCATCTGGGAGTCCTATTTGCAGGAGCTAGTTCAAATGCTCATTAACTGTCTATCAATCTTTTCCACTGATGAACAAGGGTATTCAGCACCTGTCAAGTTTGAAATGAGCTAAAACCTGGGATACCACCAGCAAAACCTCACACATTATCTCTAGGGAATGCCTCTAACCTTTTTTTCTTCCAAAGGAGACAGAAAGCATCCTCAGTGTCTATGTAAAATCACAGCTTCACCCTAACAACACAGGACACCTGCTTTCCCCAAGCCTCCCAAAGCCTGTTCACCTGGGCATGCCTCTGAGTTCACTCTGTTCAAGGCAGGTGTTTCTCATTTGCAACTGTTAAAATGATCATAGCTAACTGAAGTCTGGCTAGTGAGGGTAAAAGTAAAAGGCACATGGAAAATGGCACTTTGTACAGCACTCCTTTTGAAAATGGCTGGCTTAGAAAGGAATATCTAATATTAATAATATTGACTGTAGGATTTTTATTTACTCTTTTTTTCCCCTGCTGCTTTTATGGCAGTCCATCTTCCTGTTGTCTCAGGCACACATAAGCACTCTTGAATGCCAACTGCTTTCAGTAAGGATATTTCTGGTATTTCCATGGCAACAAGTTGTGATATAGATCCTACTTTTAAAATACAAGCTTAGGTGGGTAGTGCCAAATCCCAACCTTTTAAAAAACTGTTCATCAGAAATAAACTTTCATCCCAATTCATTCCCAGAATTTGCTTTTTCTTAAAAAAAAAACTAATTAAAAAAAGAAAATCACTTTCAGCATGTTTATAAAGATTTGTTATTACAGGACTTCTTGTGAGCAGTGGGTGGAGGAAACCAGAGCCTCTTTCAAACGGGCTTTGAATATAGGAACCAGACTTAAGTGCTGGGATCCACAGACACTCCAATGGTTTTGGTTCCATTTTGAATCCTCCATTGAAAAGGACTTGTTTTCTCAACTGTAGTTCAGATGAGGCCAGAATCGTACATGAACAATAAGCATCACTTACCACCGGCATGTGGATAAAGCCCTTTCTCAAAATTTGAACATTTTCTGTTCTCGTGTAAACATGCTTTAATCTTTTGTACATTAAAGGTCACGGATGTATGCTGGATTGCTTACAGACTCTAGCTGGTGCCTTTTCAAAGTGAGGGAGAATGTTCTCCAGATTACAATGCTAGTATATATGGTTGTGATCTCTCTTTTTTTTTTATGCTAACGATTTCCATCTTTGGAACAAACAAAATTACTACTAATTATGGTTTCCAGTCACTCAAATGTGGAGAAAGCAGGCTCAAGAAGGAAGTTACTTCTACAACAAGCATATACTGCTCTGCATTTATGTGGTTTGAAGATTAAACTTTCTACCCCCCACCTACGTACTATTACATTCTGTGGAACTTCCCACTTAAGGCTTCACAGTAGTAGTCTCTACTATGAAGATGTGAAAAAAAAAAAACCAACAAAACCCAACCCAGTATCTGAAGCTTTCACTAAGATTTAATGTATTTTCATTAAAAATCATTGACTGCTCCCCATCATGGACTTATTTCAGCATGGCCTGAGCTACATTAAACCTTGAAAGAAAATTGAGCTCCCTACATTTGATGACATTAACCATCCTCACTCGGCTTTGATGCTGGTACACATCCTGTATATTTAAACAAGTATACAAAGAATAAAACTCAGTAACAACTCTCCATTTCACTAATGATGCCACGATTCAGGCCTAATAGATTCCCTCCTGCGCTGTCCCTTAGGAACACAGCATCTCTTCCTTCAAATGCCCTAGAGAAATGCCACCTCCTGACTGTGCAGAATCAAAACCAGTGTATCTTGGAAACAGTATCCCAGCAATTCCTTCCTCTATGTTCTTTTAGCTTTGTTTGGTTTACACAAATCTGTATTTTACAGAATAGAAAGTATCACTTTTCAGTATCAACAGAATTATCATTTAGGAAGTCTGGGAACACTTGTCACGGTGGTTTTGGTATCACAGACTTGTATGAACTCAGAAACAAGGAGAACAGTCAGCAAATCTTTCTCTTTTTGATTTAACTTAAGCTTACGGTATTGGGTACCAAACTGGAGACTAGGTCTCTGCAGCTCTCTGCCATCTAAGCAGGATGGTCAGACTCACTGGACTTAGCTAACTCCTTGGGACTCCTAACCCCGATGCTCACGTTGCCTTTCTGAGCTTCCAGAACATTCTCTACCATCACGGTGGCAATCACAAGGTGACCAGAGCTGTTCCCTCACACCCGGGAGCACGGCTCTGTACATGACAGCAATGCCGCACTGCCACGTTCACATACTCCATCATCCAATGGAGCCCCTTGCCGTCAGTGCTGGTGCCCATTCCCAAGCACCTGCAGGCTACCACGGCCCCGCCACGCCGGCGCTCGGCCCCGCACCACACCGCAGCCAGGACACCCGGCTGCCAGGCCGAGGCACAGGCCCGGCTAGACTCGGCGGGGCTGGTCCAGGGCAGGGCTGGGCCCCGGCAGCACCCCGGCTCTCCACCGCCCTCTGAAGGGCTGCCGGAGGGCTCAAGCAGCGCCCGGCCCCCGGAGCCGCTCGGTCCGGCAGAGGCGGCCCCGCCGCCCCGTCGGGGCGCAGCAGGGACTGCTTCTGCGGCGGCTCCTCACCAACCTTCGATCGGCTTCAGGTAGTCGTAGTCGAAGAGGATGGAGAAGTCAAACTCCTCCTGCGGGCTGCCCTCCGGGGCCGCATCGGGGCCATGCCCGAGGCCCCCCTCTTGAAGGTCGGGCTCCGGGGCCTGGGCGGCGCTCATGCCGGCCTCAGCCTGCCCGGCAGCGGCAGGGCAGGAATGGGGGCTCGCCCGGGGCCGGCCGGCTGCAAAAGGGGCCCGAAGTGCGACCGGCGCAGCGAAGCCCGCTGATATCCTTCCCAGAGCAAGTGGAGAGGAGGTAGAGGGGAGGCAAAAAGAGGGAACAAAGCGGAGAAACAAGCGAGAAGGTCTCCCGGGGGTCGCCGAAGCGAGCGCGGCTGCCCCCGACGACGGGGCTGCGGGCGAGGAGGCCCGGCGGCGACACACGAGGGGACCGGCGCGATTAGCGGTGGCAGCTTCCTGCTCCCGAGCAGCCACCTGCTGCCGGGGCCGCCCCCGGGGGGAGGAGCCCGGCCCGAGCCGCACCGGCCCCGCCGCGGGACCGCAGCCCGCGGGACAGGGGCATCCCCGGGGAATGCCTGCAGGGGTCGTGGTGGGGAAAGCGGAGGATGGGGCCTGGGGCGGGACTGCATGGGGGTGGGAGCCTGCAGATCATCCCCCGTTCGGGAAGCATCTGCGCTGTTAACTCTACGTCCAGCATGACTTGCTGTCTTCCATGCAGCCGCCTCCTCCCCAGCAGTCGGGCCCCTTTCTGTTGAGGTTTCCAGGGTCTCCAGAAACTCCAGGCGGCCCTGACGCTGCCCTCGCCTTCTCCACACTTCATGTGTCTCACGCCATGTGCTCCTGCCGCCCAGCACAGGCTGCTGCTAAGGCGGCAGAGGGCAGATTTCTGGGTGTGTCTCATTCTGCAGCCACAGGCCAACCTCTCAATTGAAGCACCTTGAGAAACATGAAGTCCATCAAGCACAAGGTCTCTGTTCTCCTCCTGCCTTCCTCACAAACAGCGTTTCACAGAATGGACTCTTGCCATGTTCCCTGCTGACCACAATGCCAGCCCTGCCAACTTCCCCAGGTACCTTCGGCCACATTGACTCTATTCATCAACATCTACCCCAGGCTCTTCACAGAGTTCTGGTCACTGCCTCCCAACAGCCTTCTACCCCTCCAATGGCTGTTCCAACCAGCAATGATTTCACTTGTGGGTAACTGGAGATCCTAAATTTGTGTGTTCAGAGCATCTGTGGTCAGAAGACTCTGTTCCCTCGCTTACCTGCTTGTATGGTTCCCTTTATTAGTGTACTGATGGCTGTCAGCAGGTCTCTGAGTCTGAAAAATGCTTTTAGTCTGTACACAGGGAAGGAAGGCAAAGGCAGATGGACCAAGATCATTAAAGAAGTATTTTGGTGTTTACTTCAATTTGTTTATATTTGTTAAGCTTGTTAGCGCAACAGCATTAACCACATTACATATCTGACTCTATGTTACTTGTCTAAGGTCACACAAAGCCTTTTACAGCACACACAAACCAGAATCTACGTTTAGGCTCATACCCTGTCACCTTTATCATTGATGTGGCCAGCCAAGTAATGAGAAATCACACCTTTTTACACCATCCTTTGCCAGTCCCGTGTGTGAGAATTCAGACTTTTCCTAAGCTTTGAAGTTTCTATACTGAGCTTCTGAAGAATCCTAGCAGCAACCCTTGTACTGGCCATTACCCTGCAGCAGCTGCCAGGAGACATTAGAGGCATCTGTAGGTGAGCAGGAAGAGTGCACAGTGCTTTGGGAGTGAAAGAGGAGTAAGGAGACTGCAAAAACCACTGTTGCAGCTGCATGAAGGCAGATGCAGAACTATCAGACCAGAACGAGGCCTTTCCATGATTCATCTGTTGCTGGGAAGTGCCAAGGGATAAGGAAACCTGCCTTTCAGGAAGGGCAGGTGATCCTGCAGATGGGATGTGTCAGGAAATAGCATGAGCCCTACTGGTATATTTACTCTATACACTTCCCACCAAAGAGAAACACAATTTAAATGGAGAGGGAAAAGCCTCTATCCCATATTCATAGTCACTAGATTAATGAGTGATTGCACTGCAATTGATGCTATGCTTTAACTTGGCAGAAACTAAAAGAACAATTTTTTTTCTCATTAATGCGTAATATGCATAGTAACACAATGACTTCCTTGGACCAAAGTGTTTGAATTTTCTCCTGCACACACTGCAAAAACAACCATGAGTGGTACTTTGCTGGGTTTCCATATGGGCAGCACACAGCCCTGCGTGCGTGTACACACGCACATGTGTAAGTGGCATGAGAAGGTCATGGGCTTTTCAGAGATGCTCAGATGATGCTCTTCCTTGCAGAGAATCATCTCTCAGAGATGCTGCTTCCAGACCTGATGTGGCAACGGTGCAGGGACTGCTGAAGCCTGTTTTGAAAAGTTTCCAGTGCTCGCTCTGTGATTGAGCTGGAGACCACAGTTAAAGCCTATCTCATCTGCTGCAGCAATTCTTAATACTACATGAGGCACTTGCGCTCTGTAGTTTCGTAGTGTCTGGTTCAGGCAGAGACAGGGCTCTGCTGCCACCAGGCACAGACAAGGAAGTCAGAGCACCCAGTGAGTAGCGGTCTTGGCTACCAGCATTCAGAAATGAGGCCACCCCAGGAAGCTGCAGATGGGGTTGAGCTCTTACCCTCAGGAGTGTGAGTGGGGAATGGAGGCTGCTGGCCCCTTGGAGAGCACATCCTGCTCTGTCTGAGAGCTTGACTCCTTCTGAATTGTTTAAATGTGAAGAAAACATATATTAAATCAGCCTATTTTTATATTTGTTCTAAAATGATGCTTACCGTTTGCCAGAGCGCTAGCCTTTTATCATTGGCCCTTCTATTTAAAATTCATTAGAAAAAACAAATATACTCGCTGATCTTGGCTTAGCACTAAAGAGAGCTGTCATCTTTGCAGCTAACAACACATGGAGCATGATTGGGTAGCATCATTTGTATTAGCCAGAAAAAGAAAAGACATGAACAATAACATTGGCCTTTTTAAGTAAGAAATGGGTGACGGGCAGGAAAGCATGGGGAAATGACCCCAACTTCTGCTAAATCTTTATCCAATCCTTTATTTCCTAGCTCGCCTGCAATCCATTAAGCATGTGAAGTTTCAAACTTATCCTCAGCTACTCCTAGAATTAGTAATACTCCACAAATGGAAAATGTACCTTTTGCTTTCCAAGATGACCATGTCATCTGAAATAGTTTCACTGCTAATACATATAATCATAAATTCTGACACTGGCGAGGAATTAGGTTGACAAGACAGCAATGAGAAAAGTGTTAGAGAAATGTAGGAATTAGCTCAGCTTATAGGATTCAACACTTTTGCCCAGCAACAACTTGACAGATGCAAGCAGCAATAGCTACCAGGCATACCATCCACTCGGTTCCCCCTGCTCCCTTCTGCAGCTCTCAGGCCACATAAGGACATCGGTCCCTTATGACCACTATGGCATAATATATAGGCATAATGATTTCCACATGCTTTGAGTGCACAGAGGTGTGAGTTATAATGCACTGTGGGAGGTGTTGGAATCTACCAGTGTGTTATGTCACAAAATATGGATCTGGCCTAAACAGTAGAGATGCATGAACCCATTACTAGGCGCAAGCAGCTGCAGAATTCAGCTGAAGTGACAGCTGTAGATTTTGGAGCCCTCCAAGGGCTGAGCGTTGTTTAGACCCAAAACATGCTCTTGAGCCCACAATGAGAATGGAACATTATAAATGGTTCAAGTTTAAGCTGTTATAACTACATAACTGAGAAATACTACCCACAGTCTGTCAATAATAATTAGCGATGAAGAAAAGGCAGGGAAGCTACTTAGACTTGAATAGACTGTGGACTCTTCAGCTCAATACATACACTCAGAAAAAGCATCAAGCCACTCCAAATCAAAGGAAAAACCCAAATAATGTGATAAATACTTCTCAATGCTCATTTTCTATTAGGGCTCAAGTGAAAGGCTGGAATACAGCATCCACAGACTAGAAATAGTAGCTACTTTCCCTAAATCTCAATCTTTTTCATATCAGAAACACTTCCTTTCTACAAGGATCCCCCATTTGTTTCTCATTACCACTATCAAAAGGCTGACATGATCACAACCCCAGCAAGTGGTCACAGCTTCACTTGGACTCACAGCACCCACCCAAGAAATCTGGGAGTCAGCATTAACTCCTTTTTTTTTTTCCCTCTAAAGCTGTTTTTATGAGCCAAAAAGGTGTTTCAAGAACTTAAGCAAAGTCTGTCCTTGGCAGCATTAACAAAAATTGCAGCCACGTATACTTGCAGCAGGCTCTACACAGAGCAGAACTGGAAATACATTGTGCTGCCATTTCAGGGAACTGGAGAATGGAAGGACTCCTTTTCCACATGGTTGGATCAGTGCTTGCATTTGGCAGGGCTTTGATTTAATAAACTTTAAAAGTATGTGAATACTGGGCTACCTAGGTACTAGGGGACAAGGAATCCAAAAACAAAGCAAAGAAAGAGTAGTTTCCAGTGTAATCCAAACTATGATTTTAAAAGCACTTAACATAGTTCTCAGTGTTTAAACTTACTGCAAATGTAATCTGTCATTTACTATTTTCAGTTCCTGCTTAGACTATCCCATTGTATTCCCTGTACCAACAACTTCACTAATGCAAGAGATCAGATGATGCTCTGAGCTGAAGGCAGTTTTGGATGATCTTCTCAGTGACTTTGCTAATTATTATGTGGCCTACAGGACATGTAATTTACACCGCATCTGTAATACTATAATACCCCCATACTAAACTCTTTAAAATAAAGAGAGGTAGAGAAAAGTGGATTAAAAACTAAGAAGCTGAAACCCAAAGAAAATACGAGTCAATGAAAAATCTAAGTGTTCTAAGGGTGTATGTGGCAGGCATTAGAAATTTAACAGGCAACTCAAACTTGCACATGGACTCCATCCAAGCTCTTTAAAATGAGCTCAGACTGTGAGTGACTAGTTGCTTGGTTTGGTGTGTGGGGAGTGCTATTAGAGAGGAAAAAAAAAGAGCAAGGGGGAAAGAAATATCCTGGTACTTCCTTTGAGAGGCACACATACTACTATGCAATTTTGGGGTCAGGTTGAGTCAGAGATATTACCCCCCAATTTCAGGCTTAAGGCGGTTTGGCAAGAAAGGACAATGGAAAAATTGCTCATATCGCCATGTTCCCATTAAGTACTGAAGTCTGCTGTGCAAACCAAAGGAATGCACATATCATAGTTTAAAAAAGTAGATTAAGCCAGTAGTGGAAAAGAAGTTCTAGGATATTATTATCCTTGGCTATTTTAAAAAAAATGAATGATGAAACATTTCAGTTAGAATAGCTATTGGGCTGTTATAGAAGAGTGCTCCAATTATGTCACCATCCCATCTGTGAATGCAATTCCTGCCCTGTACGAAAGGCTCTGAAATCATCTGCTGACTGTCAGCTGGTGTGACAGGGGAGGCTCACAGATAGAGAGGGGCTACCTCACGTAACAGAGCAGTAACAAATGTGGGACAACAAGATGACACAGGGACTCATGAAAATCTCTGGTGGGAAAGACCCAATGAAAATCTCTGCCTTGGCTTGTCTTGCATGAACCTGGAGAAGCACAGCTCAGGGAGCAAAGCTACTGAAGCATCTTTTTTGCTAGCAGGATGTTAGGCTATGCAAAGACTTCCCTTCACATTCTGAGCCTGCTCTAAGCATAAAAGGGGGCTAGGACCTAAAATTATTAACACATAATTTCCACACCCTACATTAATGAGACTCCTGCACTTTGTTATACAAGGGTGCAGAAATCCTCCAAAGCCAGGTGCTATTAACTCCTAGCAGCCTCACGCTGAATTGGTGCCAGGGTCTGCTCCCATTCCCCCTATGCCACTGGCAGAAGCACGTATTTCATGTAAGGGAAAAAGGCATGCTGGGGCCCAGGAACATTTTCTTTGTGAAGCATCTCTGGGCTCTGCTGTGCAGCTGACTGCCCTGCTCATCTGGCTACTGTGGTCTTCAACATTGGATCTGAAAAAAGATTAATCCGTGCCTTTCACTTTGGTGTGTGACTGCACAGCTCTGGGGAAAGCAGAGCTGCGGAGCAATCAAAGGAGTTGTGGCAGCTGGCACTGGAGCACTGCCTTGTGCTTTGATCCGCCGCTATCCTACAGCAGGTGAGAGTGGGACCTTGCCAGCACTGAGAAAGAAATCTCCTGTCTTTCCCTTTCCTGCTTTCTCTGCAGAAAAATAACTTCTCCGGAGTGTTATGAGAGTGACTAAAAGCAGCTGAAGCTCTCAGGGGAGAAGGAGTTCTGTCTGGAGAAAGCCGCGATAGACGAGGCACGGCAATGGCCTGATCCTGAGGCGGTATAAAGCCGCTCAGCGGCTTTCCATTGGCTTGTCCTAGGATCGGAGCTCTCGGGTGATCCGCTCCGGGTGTGCGTGTTAACGAGTGTGTTTTGGCAGGTGCCTGGGGAGCCTGCTACGGTGGGAGAAAACAAACAGCCGCTACGAAGGGCCGGTCAGACGGAGCCCTGAAGATACTCGCCCCCCAGCCCGCCCCCCCTCCGCCGGCCCCGGGGCGGTTCTGACTCAGCGGTGGGGCCAGCGCTGGCGGCGGGTGGCCGGAGGGCGGGGGGGAACTCTGAGATGGAACGAGTCGATGGAAAAGCGCTTCCCGGCTCCTCCTCCTGCCCCCCGCACCGGTAGCCCTGTCAAACTCGCAACTCACCTGCGGTTCCCGCCCGGCCCGCGGGGCGCAGCGCCAGGCACCCTGGGGGAACGGGCAGGGCTCGGTGGGAGCAGCCGGGCTCGTTGGTCCACCGGTGCTTTACAAGCGCCGGGCTGTGGGCGGCGAGGGGTGTTCCTCATGCGGAGCATCCTCCGCTAGGACCCGCCGCTAGCGGCCACACCGACCCCAGCAGCTCCAGGCACGGCTGCGCCCGGAGCCCCCAGAGCCCCCAGCCCTGCCTGCCAGCATCTCCCGGGGGATGCCCCTTCCCCCGGCTCCGCTCCGGTCTTGCACAGTCGCTGCCGTGCCTGCAGCCCCTCCGCGTCCCCACGCGGGGCCGCTCCCGGCGCCGCGCCCTCCCCCGGGGCCCGCAGCCTCGCTCGCAGCGGCTAGGGAGGACGGGGGATGCCGCGGCCCCTCCTAGACGGCTGCCCCCCGCCTCTGTGGGGCCGGGCTGGCAGCGAGGAGACCTCCGCTGCAGAGGCGGGGGTTGGTTTGGGTCGGAGTGGACCCACGGAGCGGGGCGCCGGGGGCGCGCACCGAGCCCTGACAGCGGGGCAGACTCCTCCTCTCTCCGCGCTTAACTCTTGCCGGCACCAGCACACCGCGGCGGGAGGGGAGCGAGCCCCCTCCAAGCCCTCCACGGTTTGCCCTGCCCGCACCCCCCGCGACGGTGCCGGCCTCGGCGGGAGCCTCCGTTATCCCCGCGGGTAGCTCAGCAGCCGAGCCGCCGGCCTCAGCCCAACGGAGCCCCAGAGCCGCCGGGCCCGGACGGAGAAGCCGCCTGCAACGCTCCCAGCCCCCTACCCAGCCGGGCGGCGGAAGGGTTAAGCTGTCGGTCAGCGAGACCCCGGGGTGACAGCGTGGAAGAGGATAGTCCCTCTAGCTGGAGTTCAAAGGTTTCTCCACGCGGATTTGTACCCGCCGTCGCGGAGCAGTTCAAAACCAAGCCTAAAGCCAGTCCCTTCCCAAGGGACTTTCTCTCCATGAACGTTTTCCGCCTCCCCGAGAAGCCGGCGGGATAACCCGGGGAGCGACCCAGAGGGACCCCCGGAGCAGGGGAGTGCATGGGGGATACGCACACAGACACACAGCGCGGGAGGAAGACCCTACCTTGATCCATAGACCTCATGATGTGGTGGTAGTGTACCAGCCTGCAGGCAGCTTCTCTCTGCATCAGGAATTTTATATATATATATATATATATATATAAAAAAAACAAAACACACAGTAGCAGGGGAAAAAAAAAAAAAAAAGGAAGAAAAAACTCTTCTTTAAACCATGTTCAACCAGTGCCGCCCGGACAGAGGGAGCCCCTCTTGCTCGCCTCCTCCGTAAGTGTTTGGAGGTGCAAAGAGGGATCCGAACTGGGCTGAGCTTGTTCCTGAAGTGAAGTCAGTTCTCTGCTCTGAGATGAGGGTTACTAGAGAGGGAAAGGCCACTTCCTTCCCTGCTCCGAGTGTTTATAGTCTTTGAATGCTGTAAAATAACGGGATTCCCTCACTGTTTCCTCCTGTTTATCCCAGTGCCATGGAAACCCCTGGATCGCCTCCATATCCCAAACTGAGGGCTTTCCTGCAAACTTCACACTCAGGAATCCATGACGTCTCCCAGCTCCGGGCCAAGGCAGCTCTGCGGCTTTCTCAGTCTGCAGCACAAGCACTTAATTGTTGAGCAGAAAGTTAGAGAGCGAGAAAGAAAGAAATATGGATGATGTTAAAAATCCCACTGTGTGCTTTTTAAACAAAACTTGCAGGAACTGCAAAGCCTTTCAAAGCAACGGGGCTTCTGTGCAGAAGTTTTCCTTCTTCCCAGTAGGGACAAGCTCGGGCTGCTGCTACCTTTACCTTTGAATAAATCATTCAGAAAACCGAAGTCCCCAGCTTATATTTATGTCTTTTAAAATCGCCAGCACCCTATTAATACCCATCTTGTTACTGGCAGAGGTTTTGGCTTCTAATTGCCACTGGCTCAGTTCTTCATACAGAAGATGAAAAGAAAGAGAGAAAAAAAAAATAAAACAACCCTGTTAATTTGTTTAGTGGCATTTCACAGACCTCTCTCTGTTTCTATTTTTAGATCCATTTAGAAGAGAGAGGAGCAACCCCATGGATTTCCATTGATACACGTGGAGCTTAGCAAGAATGAAATAGCCAAGGAAGCCTCCGAAACCAAGACAACCCGCGTGTGTTTACACGTCCTATGTATAAACAGGAAAATAAAGCAAAAGAAAACAGGAAAATAAAGTCGGAGATGTCATGAACCGTGTGCTGCCTTGCAATGTATAGCTTTACCAGCGTGACAGCGATGCCGCACTGGGCTCAGCACCTCCGTGCGATGGAGCTTGCACGCCGCTATTGCGGAGAGGTGAGGAATTCACGTGTAGAAAACGCGGGGTGCCGCAGTCCCGCGGCCCCCGGGGGCCGATCTGCGCCCCCAAAGGAGGCGGCCCCGGGGTCAGCGGGAGCCCCGGGCAGCAGCGGGGTGAGTCACAGCGGCGGGACTTGGCCGGCCCGGCGCGGAGGGCTGGCTGGCACCCGCACCGGCGTTTCCATTTTTCACTCCCTGAGTCCCAAAATCGACTCGAAGGAGGTATCGCAATCAAACTTTCTGCTTCTCGAGTTTGTTGTCCTGCAGGCTAGCAACTGCAGGCAGGCCAGGGAAACTCAGCGCACCTCACTTTCCTAACCCTTGTCATTTTTGGACGTGCCGAGGCGGAAATACCTTCCGTGGGTCCATTATGCAACCGACCTCCACCGGCCCCCCGAAGCTCCTCCCGGGAACCCCGCAGCTCCCCCCAGCCCCCGGCAGCGAGCATCCCTCCTCCGGTGCTCGGGGGGAGCCGGTTCCTCCCGGCCACCGTGCAGACTGAGCACCGCCCCCCCGCAAACCCAGCAGAGATGCCGCTTGAGAGCATCGCCCCGCGGGGGCCTGGGTCCTTCCCGAGCCGCAGGCGGGCAGCGAAGCGCCGAAACGCTGCACATGACATGGACCCCCAGCCAGGGTCTTCACCCTGTAACAGCTCTCATCATGAGGAGCTTTGAAGCTAAAACCTTTACGAGGGAGAGCATGCAAAAAAACCCGGCCCCAAGCGGGATGGAGCCCAGCAGCTCACCTGGAGCAGTATCCCGTCCAGGCTAATTGGAGTGCTTGATTGCACCCACTATTGTCATCAGGTGAAATGAAGTCAGAACCAACTGATTTCTATTTAGAATCATTAAAGGGAAACCAAGGTTGCTGCTTTGCCTGCAGAGCAATTGTTAATTAATAGTGAGAGAGCAATTAGTAATCTCGCCCGACTTCCAGCTCCACCGCCCAACCTCCTCATTGGGGCAGTACCTGGTCACCCCAGCACCAATTGCATTGAGGGATGCAGAGAGGAGGAACTGGGGAAGAGGCTTAGAGGAGTGGGTGCACCAAAGAGGAGCTGGAAACTGGGGGCTTATGGTGAGCAGCTGGGTGCAGGGGAGGGACACACACACACGACTTGGGGGGCCCCAAGGCACGGGGCCCTGCCAAAGGGCATCCCCGAGCGAATGGAGAATGGGCGACCCCGACGGAAAGCTTCGCCTCCTCCCACGGCCGGGGGAGCAGCCCCAGCTCGGCGGTTATGGCACACAGGTTGGCTGCCCTAGTCTGGACCGTTTAAAAATACAATATCTTTCTTTTAATAGCTCGGTTTGATCGGCTCCCGCTAGTTCACATGACAGGGTTTTCCTAAAATATCTTCTTCCACCAAGATTTTTCCAATTTAAAAATGCTGAATCCTGCTACCCAAATTAAACTCAGTGCAAAGCGAAGAGAAAAAAAATAAAGAAGTGAAAGAGGGCTGGCGGCTGCCTCCGGACTGCTCGCATTCCCCAAACCAGCATATGACACAACTGTAAGATTTCCAAGGCTTTTGGAGAGTTCAGCGAGAGAATCGTGTCCTCCACTGGCTGCAGCTTCCCCGCTGAGTTAAACTTTCCTGACGGAACCTTCCTCCATCTGGCTCCGGCCCCCAGCGCGTTGTGAGCGGCCGCGAAGGAGCGGGGGATGCGGTTCAAGTCTTATATAACTGTGCAGGCTGGATGCGGGGGCAGAGACTTTCCCTAGAAACGAGAGATTTTTATATATATATAGTTATTTTTAGCGTCCTTTTTCAAAGGAAGGCCAAATACCTCCGACTTTCCTTTGCTTTCTTATTTTGGTATCACTAAGGGATTTTATTTTTGGAGGTACGGAGCTATTAATAGCTAATATTTTTAGCTATTTATTCCCTCTTTAGGAGAGTACTTCCTCTTCCTTTCTGGGGCACATTCTGGACCGCATCCCTGCCCCCCAACACGGACCCACCTCTCCCCTCCATGCCCATGGCACCCTCAGATATTTGCCAGCGAGGTGCTCAGATTTCGGGGACAGAGGAGGGGGCGCATGGCCCGGCCCGGCCCGGCGCGGGGAAGTTTTGGAGACCGGCCTTGACCTGAGGAGCAGCTCAGTCCGTCCCCAGCACCGGGCTCCAGGCAAAGGGCTCCCTGCTCAGGGTAGAAGAGCTCCGGGAGGCCAGGGACAGCGGGGCCTCCGGGAAGAGCCCAGGGTTCCAGCTCAGGGGGGTGCCGGCTTCCCCCCGCAGCATCGCCCCGCCGCCGGGCAGGACCGCTGCCCCTCCCACTGGAGAACGAGCTCGGCGCGGGAGGCCCCGCGCTGTCAATTGGCAGTAAACCTGGTTTTTAAATGCTACTTTTAATTTCTCATGGTCTCCAGGAGATAAGGCATCGAGGCTTCCTGAGGATGTGCTCTCAGGCCATTGGGGCAGCTGGCGGGGTTTATCATCACAGACTTCATGGAGACATCTCTGTTTTCCACTTGCAAAAGGTATTTCAGACTCACAGTAACAATAAGTAGTTCTGACAAAAGCTCCCCACCCTTCCAAAGTAAATAGTGTTCTCCCTCAGTCTGCCACCGCGTACAGTGCACTCCCCTGCGCAACCTTGGCGCGTTAAAGCCGTTGAGCAGATCGGTGCTCAGACACCAAGTTTACACACCCGGCTGCACTTACACATTCACAGAACTCCCGACCGGAACCCAGAAAGGACCAAATCCCTCCCCAGCTGCAGCTCGGCCTCCTGGAGTCCAGCGAGCCGGCACCTCCCTCCATCCCATGAACAGTCCTGGAGCATCCCGACTCCATGTCACCAACCCAGGCTTAGTTCTGACGATGCACTTGTCTAAATAACATATTCACTCCCCTAATTAAGTTACAAAAGGAGTGTCTGATCTTGTAATGAGCTCCACGTGGCCAGGGGAATCTACCCACATAGAGCTCGCCGAGATTGGAACTGGGACTGCTTGAATTTTTCCCATCAAAACATTTTTTCCAAATGAGAAATAGCTTTTCATCTACAATGAAAATTGGTCGATTTTTTTTTTATATTTTTTTTCCTTCCCTCCCTCCCCAACAAAACTCAATAAAGGCAATTTTTTTTAGTTAAAGTAATTTTGCTGCTGAGGTTTGTTTGGTTGTGTGTGTTTGCTGGGTGGTTTTGTTTTTTTTTTTTTCCTTTTATTTTTTCTTTTCTTTTTCTTTCTTTTTTTTTTTTTTTCCCTAAGAACTGGCTTTTAAAAACGGATTCTATTTGTGAACATTAAAAGATTTTTTTTTTTGTAATTGAAGAGCAATTCTTTTTTTTTAATTTTACCTTTTCCTCAACAAAGGCAACCTCAGAAAACAAAATTACAAATACAAAAAGATACTGAAGAAAGTGCAGAGAACATTCTTTCTCTTCCCTCTCCTCTCGAAAATTTCCTGTAAAGGAAAAAAATAAACGTATTTCAGCTCGCTCATAGAACAATAGGACCCCGCTCTCGCTGTTTTCAGTAAGGCAGCTCCCGAATTAGAATCCTCATATGGGACTAGGAGATATAATTAATTCAGATGGGATGATACGATACCATCCTGGGCTGCAGTTTCCCGGTTTACCCGTTGCAGGAACCTGGGGCACTGCCCGCAGTGAAGCACATTCCCAAGGTAGTCACCCAAGTTCATCACCACTCGTGCATGGAAATTCGTGCTATGTGTGAAAGGGTTACCGGGGCTGCACCTGCCGCTGGAGGAAAACCTGTTCCGAGCCTCAGCCACCTGAGAAGCCAGACCTGGTTGGGGTTTATCCAGGGAAATGTCAGTGGCTCCACCTGCCCCGGAACGCCGCATCCTCCGGCCCCTCTGCATCCCGACTGGTCCTGGCCTCGCCGCATCCTCTGGCCCCTCTGCATCCCGACCCACCCCGGCCCGGCCTCCCCCGCGACACCCGCCTCCGGCACCTTCACGCCGCTCCACTCTGCCCTGGCTCCGTCATTATGCCAAGAGCCGCGCTGATTCTCGGATCGGGAATTTTAGAGGCTCGGAAATTCATTTGCACGAGAGGGAAAACGAGGATTCCGGGCAGAAGGCAAACCCGAGCATCCGAGCCGAAAACCTGTAAATTTACATGTATTCCCCATAATCACAGGGAAAAGGGGAATGAAGAGGGACTTTTGACAAGGGCACAAAGGAAACGGCTTTAAAGTGACAGAGGGACTGGCACAGAGAAGCTATGGCTGCCCCATCCCTGCCAGTGTTCAAAGCCAGTTTGGATGGGGTTTGGAGCAACTTGGTCTAGTGGAAGGTGTCCCTGCCTGTGGCAGGGCATTGGAACTGGATGAGCTTTAAGGCCCTTTCTAATCCTACCCATTCTAGGATAATTTACTGTCTGTGGTACAGTGCTACATACTCCAATTAGTTTCTTGCCAAAGATATTTTCTCTTTAAGATTGTAAACCCATATGTGTTTGGGTTCTTTTATTTCATTATCCAAGATTTTAAGATATGGTTCAGAAAGAAGAAGAAAGTCAAATAGAGCAATTACTTACTCAAATAATTAGGAACAATTAGTCACACTGGGAGCTGGAGAGGTGCTTCCCCATGTGGGCAAGGCAAGTAAACAGCATGTTTCCATTTACCTCTGTGCTGTAGAGCTTAGGCGACAGTAAGTGCAGTGACCAGGCCACACTTGGGGAAGAGATCACCAACAAACAGCCATGCATGAGAAGTGACAATTCTTCTTCTTAACACTGGGGGTTTAGCCCCATAAAAAGTTGCTATGTGGGAAATTCCCATTAATGGTCATACCGGGATCAGAAATGGCTGATGAAGCTCGCTCTCTTTGCTTAGCACCGGAAAAAAAAGGGAGAAGAAGAAACTAGACTTGCTGGTCAAGACCTGGTGGTGCAGTCAGCTCAGCCTACAGCAGCCCTCAAGCTGCTCTCTCCAGTGTCCTTCCCAGGGCAGATAAGCACCAGGAATTCTTTCTGGCCTGCTCTGTTATGAGAAGCTGGGTACAACTGTCCCCTAAATTTTAGTTGTTACAACAATACAAGGAAATAGCTGGTCACTTTTACACATTGCTCCCAGCTCACAGAGAGTTTGTGGAATGAGAATGGCATCATTAACTGTTTTATTCCCAGCTATTCAACTCACCTTCCCCTTCCAAGGAGTTACTGTAGAGAACCAAGGTTGAAATTTACAGAGATCCTTCTGACTGCTGGTGGTTAGGAGCAGTTTTCCCTGGCTGCTCCTTTTAGGGGATGGGTTCAACAGCCCCTGGGTACATGTCCGCACACCAGCAGCTTCCCAGTTCTCATCATGGACCTTCCTCCACACAGCAGCAACCACTTCTCGAGGCAGGGGTGGCATGGCTGGGAGGGGGTGTTTGAAAGCTTTTGGAAAGGGAAAGCATTGACGGCTGGTTGAAAGCGTGTTCAGGAAGCACTTTGCAAACCTGGACCAAGAAGACAGCTATGAAACCCATCACTGGACTCAAACGCCCACACCTATTGACTCCTGACTCAGCTGGAGAATACAGCAAAGTGATTATTTCACAGAAGTTCAGAGTGAATTGCAGTTTAGAGTGATATTGTATCCAAAGGCAGATTACCGCCCACTGTCAGGGCACTGGCAAAAATGCATGTATAAGTAGGTAGCATTTGTTTCAGTTCTATTAGGACATAAGATGATTTATTAATAATAAACCCACAAACTAATCCAGTTGGACACCTGTACCTTAGGTTCTTGATGGAAACACTGATGCAGTCACTCACTACATCATATGGTGGCAAATCTAAATAAAGATCATAAAGAAAGGTTATGACTGTTTTGAAAAGGTGGTTTTATCCCTTTAATATCACTGCCCAGGCAAGGGAATCTGATATTATATCCTGAACACAATTTACAGTTCATTACTGGCGCTCTGGCCACACCCGGCAGCTAATCTGGAATTTCACACATTTAATGAACTTCAGACTTGAAATACATGGTCTGTAAAATCTGATTTACACTGTTGTTAAAAGAGTTGGCATTTGAAAGAAAATATAGTTTAAAGTATGTATTTGTGCACAAAGTTTGTTGTGTTATTTTTTTTCCTAAACCCCAAAACCTGGTCATTAATTTACCCTAAAGCGTATAAAGCGCTCCCTACAGTGTAATTCCTAGTGCAATATTTCTTTCAGCACCTCAGATTGACTCGCTACATTTCTTCAGGAGCAACTGCATTCAGTTACACAAAGGAGTAGAAAGCCCCACAATGTAATTGTAGGTACTTCAGTCAGTAAGTTAACTTGACAAGTCAGTTCATGATGGAGTCCAGGGTCTATAATTAGTCCTTACCTGCCACCATCATAAAACCTCTGCATTAGGTCAGTCCTTGCTTGGGCCGTACAAGAGGTACTTTGCAATCCCGGTTCATTCAAGCGTGTTAGTTTTTTATTAGATGTTAACACCTGATATTTCCTCCAGGCTCTGGTTTTACTGAAGGCTTTGTGGCATTATGTTCTTCAGAGATGGAATGGCAGCAGGAGCTGAAAGAAAGAAGAGTGGGAACCTGTATAAATCACTGCCCTGCACAGCATCCTGATGGTGAAAGATCACAAAAGACACCTAGGCTGTGGAAGGAAATAGCTGTCATTCACATGTGAAATACAAGATGTTTCTTTCTGTTGAAGGCTATTTATGGTGAACACTGCACCTGCAAAAATTAGTTCCACACTTCAGTAACAAGGACTCACAAGAATCCAACTTGGACTTGAACAAAACCCAAGAGTTGGGTGAGGGTGTGGATGGATGTAACCTGTTTACACCAGCCACGGGTATTCCACAAAGACACTTAACATAATGCACTTCTTCCCACCTGATTTAGGAAAGACTTTCTCCTTACAGGTTAGTGTCACAAATAGTGATTTCACTTAGAAAGTTTGTTTTCTTCCCCATTTCTCCTCACATATAAGAAAGTTCAGATATCAAAATCTGATTAGCAGGAGGCTTGAGACTTCCTATAAGCAAAACTGGGCAGCTTCAAATCAAACTTTAGTCTATAGGCAGTTGCTTGAGAAATTCTGGCACTAGCTTCAGCCTAAAATGTAAACTGCCACTTTGGTTAGTTTACCTGGATCCAGCAAAAAGGCAGCAATGCATCTTGACAAATAAAGAAATGGATAATAAAGACTGTAAAGATGCCTACCTGCAGAAAGATAGGTAGATGAAGGATTGATAACATTTAACCTTGGTCTTTTAGAAACTTTATTCACTTTGCAGCCCAGCTGTCAGGGTGAGGAAGGTCCAAGTCCCTATGCCACACTGGAAACAACAGTTCATAAAGGCTTCTCTGGAGTAGCTCACAGCAGACAATGACAGTGTAGATCCTATTTAAAACTTCCCTTCCCTTTCTCCAGGAATTTCACTTACCTTGGACTCAGAAAGAGTTAAGGAGAAGAACCAGTGTTAGTTTCCAGTTCACACTTTAGGTGAAAAGATCTCAATGCTCTTGTTTAATTTTATTCACTATCAACATTAAAATCATTTTTCTGTTTGTCGTTGGGCTTGAAATAACTGTTCCAGGCTAGGAAAAAGCCAAGATGACATACTACATAATTAAAGCTACATTAATAAACAGCAGGATGTAACTGCTCCACTTAGCATTAAAAATCAATCTAAGAAAAGGATCTTATGTGCAAATCAAGTGATTTGTAACTACATCTACATGAACAGAGAACATGCACACACAGAGGGAAATCAGGCACGATGCTGCCCAGGGGGAATTCAGGAGGTGAACCTTGGCTGCGCAGGGTGGTGCTTGTGCTTCCTGGGGCTTGTTAATCACCAGCACAGCTCCAACAGCAAGAGCTCTCCTCACATTGCAGGCTCCTGCCAAGGATGCCTTGGCAAGGGAGTGGTTAAAACGCTGGCTGCTCTTCACTTAGGGCTCTGAAATTTTACAGCGCATGGTGTGCTGGTTGTCAAACATAAGGAGAACAGGATGGAGCCTAATAGAGGTGCAGCTGGAGAGCAATAAACATTTCCAGCAACATCTCTGGGGCAAAGATCCTGCCTCGCAGGGCTGAGAGGCTGGCTGGCAGAGCTGCTGCCCTTGCAGCAAGATGACATGCTGCTCCACCATCTGCTGCGGTCCAGAGGTCTCTCCTCAAAGGTCCTATCCATTAACTCTTGGAACAGGATGAAAGCCAAAGGTAATAAAAACATGACACATCGGAGTTCCCAGCACCCTGGCTGGCCCAGGAGAGCCAACCTCCATGTGGGACCTTCCTGTCTAGAGTGACAGTGATGGCTCTGCTGGTCCAGGACAGTCACACCAACAGCAGGAGGTAATGATTCATTGGAAACTGCTGCACTGGAGCAGAGATGCTGTCTGACCGAGGGAACACCGATCCTTATAAATGTGCCTTTTATTCAAAACCTTAATCCCAAATTTACAAACAGCACAGAGCAATTCTGCGTCTGCGGGCAGCATCCCCTGCCTTTCCTATAGGCTCCTGCTGAGCAGCATTTCTTTCTACGGCAGGAGCAGGTAACATGCTTCATGGAGACCATTACATGGCATTTCATGTAATGGTACCACTGACACATGGGTTGTTCTCATTTTAAGTAAGAATCCCAATCATTCTCAATTTGCACCATTTTTTGACAAGTCACATGTTGGTGAAATCTGGCACTGCACAAAATGAATCCAAAGTGACACATCTTAAAAAGAGAGGAGCCAGCACAGGACAGATCCGTGTCTAGCGGCACAGAAATACAACGCCTACAGCAGAGCTACAACACAAGCTTTGCTGAAGCAGATGTGAAACACATGAGTAAATATGCTGCCTGATGAAATCTCAAGCACAGGAGACACCCACCTCCCACGTGCCCAAGGTGAGCTCCGGCAGTACTTCTGAGCTGACTAAGCAGAATCACGCAGTACAATCAATTTACCTCTACTCATGCTATTAATTTATACTGTGGGTAATTCTACTTTTACCCTGGTAAACAAGTTTCTGGATATGGTTAAGCTACTCAGAGTGTACATTTAAAATAAAATCTGTTTCACATAAAAGGACAAATGAGAATGACTATTGCCCCCATCTTTAATGCGCTAAATTCTTTTGCACAGATTGTTCTTGTTACTACTTCTTTCTGTGAGAGAATCTGAACAGCACAAAATATTCCTCCTTACGTGCACAATTACAGCAAGCCAAGAGAGGGAGGCTTTAAAGTGGGAATGCTATGATTTTACAGTCCTTTTTTGTAACCCTCTCACCCAGTAACAGTTAGGTCTTAGGCCACAAAGGGAGGAAGAGCAGCAGAGGGAAGGCCGGATCCTGCAAGATCCTCATCATCCATAAACTTAATTACAAGCAGCAAAAATTCAGACATTCACCATGTAGCCTAGAAAGCCCCACGCTACCCAGAGAGTTTTAGTGCCTGGAAACACTTGCGTGGGCTTGTGGCCCAAAGAAGCCACATCAGTTTTGATACTGACCTTAAATAGGTGCTGGACCAAGACTTAGTGCTGCTAGTAACTGCTGTTACTCTCAGAAGTTTTTCCTTGTGCTACCTTTCTGCAGTTGCAGCAATGCTGTTTCTGCAGCCAGCTCTGCATGATCCAAGGACCAAGCCTCTTGTATGAGGAAAGGCCGAGAACTGGGTTTGCTCAGCCTTGAGAAAAGGTGGCACAGGGAAGACCTTATCACCACGTTCCAGTATTTAAAGGTGGCTACAAAGAAGACGGAGACTCCCTTTTTGCAAGGAGTCACATGGAAAAGAAGAGGGGTGATGAGTATAGGTTACTTCTGGTGACATTCCAATTGGACACAAGAGGAAAGTTTTTCAGAATGAGAACAATCAGCCATTGGAATAATCTCCCCAGGAAAGTGGTGGATCCCCCAGCGCTGGATACAGTTCAGCTGGACAGGGTGCTGGGATACCTGCACTTTGCAAGAAAGGTTGGACTAGATGAGCCTTGAGGTCCCTTCCAACCTGTCACTCTGTGATATGATTCGACAAACGGGTCATGCTCGGGGCCATGCGTAAGATACCCAGTTACCAACCAGCACCTATTCTTTTTTGGGGGGGGCTATTTTTTAGACAAAAAAAAAAAGAAGAAATAAAAAATAAAAGGCACACTAGTGTATAATACAACCACAATTCGAAAAATAAGGCCACTGGCATTCTTTGGTAAAGCCTAGGCTGAAAACTTATCCCAGGATGCATGATCTTCCAAAAATCTGCCAACCCCTGCAGTGTTCAAACTTCTTGTATGACCACAGCCACATGAAGAATGAAATTAAACCCCATGGAAATCTTTGACATTTCTTCTATTATGCAATGTTTGGGTGAACAAAAAAATATTGCAGAAATTCTCCTTCCCTTTCCAGAGCGAGTTCAGAAAAACTATTTCTAGCTTTTTTTAATTACACATTTCACCATTAAAAAGAAACCATCCATAAATTAAAAGAACCACTAACTAGGGCTTATGTAACCTATTTAGAGTGGGAAATTGGTACCACTTGGGAGTGAAGTCTGTTACTGTAATTTCTGGAGTCTACACCATCCATTTGATGTGTGCAAACATCACAAAAGTTGTTTATTTAAATATTTGCATCAAGTATTTTATACAAAGAAGTTAATAATGGGAGAAGTTAAGATGCAGCATCCTACAGAAACTGAAAGAAAAGCTTTAATAGATGTTTAATGATCTAACGGAGAGCTTATCACTGCTTTAGTAATAGATTTAGTTACAGATTTATTTAGTTATAGAGTTATTTTATCAAATTCTATTTTTGTTCTGAGTGTTTATGGTAGGGAACTGTTGTACTGTGGTCCCAGTCAATGTTACTGCAGTTTCCCCTGTGGAGAACACTCCAGTGTTAAAAACTCCTGTCTCTTCCCATTTCTGACCCAGGAGCGGGGCAGCCAACCCCAGCCGTGGGACTGCTGTTGTGCTGAGCTAGTTAACTTAAATTCGTGATGAGAACATTCCAAAAATAGTTGTTCCTAATACTATTGCATCATTGCTTTTCCAAGAGCAGCTTATATATGTTTCATACAAAAGACTTTCTCCCAGTTCCCAGCAACAGGGACCAGCAGAACAACCATCTTCTCCCTACTTTGGGTTGCACCAAAAATTGAGAGGACAATTTGACCTGAATCTTCCTGAATGAGATGAGTCTTTTCAAACTGAGTTTACAAATTACAGGTTTACAATCCTTGGGACAGTCAGGTACTCTGGGACTAACTAGTTGTAGATAAGGCACAAGCAAAGCAGCAGCCTGGGGCTCATTCTGCCCATGGACCACAACAGCCATGTCCTCTCACAGGGGTGAGCTGGGGCAGTGGCAGGATGACACAGGGAGCAGGAGCAGCCTCTGCTTCACACAGAGCTAATCCACACCATTAAATTGCAATGATGATGTGCAAAATAATACCTTGCAAGAAGCCACTAATAAAGTCAAGGGCAGCAAAAGATTACACCGATACTTCCTAAAATAAAACCCAATCAACCCCTCCCAAAAGAAACCCTCAAACCCTTCCTGCAGTGACTCTTAGGAAACTATTTATAGCAAAGAATTTGATGAAGCAGGTCTACACTGATCAGCAGAAAGCACTGATCATTTCTCAGATACTCATTCCCCACGCAGAGAAGTTAATAGGCCACAGTGCAACCTGACCTACGCACTTACAATTCTGTTTACACAGAGCTTGGACTGATCATGCCAGGACTAACTCAGGTGCATCATACATGGTGCGTACGGATGAAGTAAAGAAGTTGCATAAAATTTATTTTTCCACCTTGTTTTACAACATTCCCTTTTAAGATCTTACACATCTGCAACATATAACTCCACAGAACAATAAATAATTGGCATTCATATTTCTCTTGAATCAAGAGTATGTACACATTGTTTAACTAGATGACAGGTACAAAACACTGGCATTACAGTAAATATAATTTTGACACCATAATCCATTTCCCCAATTAAAAATGAAATTAACATTTTTTTAACAGTTGTAACAATTAAAAATGTTCTCAAAGGCATATAAGTACACAGGTTGTAGTAGGCAGTAGTAATGGACCATATTGGCAAAGCTGTAGAACCCAGGATTTCATGCAAATCAGAGTTTATTAATTATGAAATAATAATAAATGAAAGCCCATTCAGCTCACACTGAAGATTTTAATGGGCACTGCACTGGCATCAGCAACTGTGGAGATGAGTCAAACCCCATCCAAACAGTGGTGTCCAAAGAACTTGTGATGGTGAGCCGCAGGCAGTGGCAGCTCACATACCTGGTTTAGAGCACTGCTTCTGCAAACCAAGGATTTATGATGCATCAGATGGTGCAGCAGCTTTCTTTAAAAGACAAACCCAGAAGACAAGCTTTAGGGCTTCACAAATCTAATGTTCTGCGCCTCCCTGACAAACAGCTCAACTATAGCAAATTCTTCCTCAGCAATTGCAGAGGATGAGGATGTCATAGTGTTTAGTTGTGACAGGACAGTAGACCACATTAAAACAACACCTTTGGTGCTGCTGTTTGGTCCAGCCACAGCTGTAGCTCTCATCACATAGTTCTCAACACCAAGGGGACACCAGAGATGTCACTTATCACTCCTCAGCCCAGTTCTGGTAAGACCCTGCAGAGATTTAAGCTGCTGCTGTTGAACAAAGAATGTTGCATTATAAGCTGAGCAAAATGAATGTTTGCAAGATAAACAGGACAAGCTCTATGGAGGAAACAAATATAGTTAAAGGAAAAAAAATAAAACAAGAGGGTTACAACGCATCTGAATTACTGCTGAGATGCAAGAAGAAAACAGTGCATGTCACAAAACCTCCACGATAACTAACCACTGCAGCAGCACAGCACGGAGCATGGGCTTCCCTAAGCATCCATGGGAAGCAAGAGAGACATACACTGCTATCCTACAGCATCACTTGGAGCACAGTCCCAAAGCACACAGGTTACATGAACTGCTACAGTACGTAAACCAGAACAAAAAAAGGAATAGGAAGAATACTAAGTAAGGCTACAAACAAGATACTACATAGAAGAAAGCAATGCTTCACTCCCAAAAAGCACAAATTAGGAGCTTACTAGAAGAAAAAGATTCTATTTCCAGCAGAGAATCCATTTATTCAATGTACAGTAAGTATGAACATATGTATTAAACTTTGCTTTTAAAAACATTTTTTAAATAACTTAAGAGAAATAGATTGCAGACATAAAGTGCTAAACTTGAAAAATACAACAATCATTCCTCTTTCCTGCTGTTTGTTAAATGGCAGTTTCAATTTTCCAATTGCTTTAAAAAGATGCAGTGTACACCCAGACAGAAATTACCTCCTGGATTTACAATCTTGTGCAAAAAACTACCTGCAAAGGAACATTCGCACCCCAAAACACAGCTATACATTACTACCTATTCACTAAATATGAGTTCCTTTTTATAGTTATGATTCAATAAATATAAATGAAATCACAATTCTCTCCCTTTCTTGGTGTAAGCTAATATTTTGCAAATATGGTCCACTCAGTGTAAACTGTATTGACTTCAGGAGACAGTGAATTCTACCATCTATACATCTCAAATATTTACATACAGTAGCATGGCACTGTTATTCTTGCAGGACATTTAACTCCTAATACACACTGGATAGGGACAGGGTTTTACAAAGATGTGTACTGCAATGTGTCTGCCAACAGTCAAGAGGGACTTGACTTCTTAGCCACAGGGAGTAGCCAAAAGAAATTCTTGATTCTTGTATTTAAATCTGCTTAAACCAAATGCTGACTGAGGAACTCCAGAGCACCTGCATGGCTGACACTATGCAGGAGCTGGAGCAAGTCATACTAAAGACAACATTAAGTATCCTTTTGGCAAAGTGGCATAATTCACAAAAGGCTGCTAGCCCAACTCCCCAAGCAAATGGGCTGTCCAGGCACCGCTTTTCCTCTGTGAGACAAATCACTGGGAATATTGGACTTCTGGGGCCCACATGAACACGTGTGTCAAGCAGAAATGCATATTGTCATTTTTAGGAGCGGGAAGAAGACAAGAAAAGAGGCATATTTTATACAAAAGTCAATACTAAGAATTAGCTTTCCTTAGGCTGCAGGTTGTTTCTGAAGGTGGTTGCTATGTATCAGGACTTCAGACAAGCACCTATCAGAAGAGCGGCACAAAAGAAAAACCAGCGAGTTAAGATTGCAGAGCATTTGCTGTTCTTACTCCTGAAGGATCCTGAAACGTAATTTTCTGAATTAGGAGGGCTTCCACTACATGAAACAACAAAAAGGTCATAAGGACTTGTACCTTCCTCTCCCCCGCGCCACACACATTAAGAAGCACATCTAATTTGTCTCTAAATCTTCTGGAACTTGCTTCCCTCCTCTTTGATATTTACTTGCAGGATCCAAGATCAAGCAAGGCAGGTCAGGTTGTGCAAAACATCCCCCGGAGCAATTACCACACATTGACCACATAAGCCGCGGCTATCTTAGATCTGAAAATTCAAGCCATACCCACTCTGGGTCAACACAGACTCCAGCTCTTTTAAAACAACACTCCCATTTTCCACAGATTTTCACATCAGACTTTTTAATGCAGCATTGTGCTGCTTGCGACAGCGGAGCGCCTGTAGCAATAGCAATGGAAGCTGGCAGCCCATTAAAGAGGTTCAGCATGGCACACAGATGACCATGGAGCTTTGGCTCCTCTCACCAGCATGACTGTCCTGGCCTGGAAGAGCTGCCTTGAGAAACGAGAGGGGAGCTCAGGCCCCGGGCTCTGCCATTCCTGGTCCCTCCATGCAGTCGACCAACAACGGTGCCAAACAGTGCCAGCTCCAACAGTGCTTTTTATGATGCGGGAATGAGACAGCAAGCAACTAATTTAGCACAGACTAAACAGCCATTAGATGAAGATGTCTGCCACTAAAAGCTCATACGTGTTTGATGCATGGGCCCAATTGCAAAAGGCTCCCATAACTCCGTCCTTCTCCTGAGCAGCCTACGTACGTGTTGCTCTCCTCATGGTATTATAGCGTGGACCGAAGCTTATTATAAAAACAGAACTCACTGAGTTTAATTTTTGAAAATGAAAAATAAATTCATAAAATTGCTCGGTACATGAGCTTAATACCTTCATATGAATCCCACTTCTGTGATTCAAGTTCAGTTTTTAGAGCAAAGCAAGTGCAAAACTGCAAAGCAAGTAAAAAAACTGCCTCTCTGCAGGGAGTATGTCATGAACAACATCCACCTAGGAGTGCCTCAGCTTATTTGCAGCTCATCTTCACAGTTTCATCCTAACAGGAAACAGATTTCATGTAGCTGTGAGGAGTAGCAGCTCTGTGACCTCTCCTTTCAGTCTCCAAGGATTCAAGACACGACTGCCACATTGTCTGCAGAACAGTACGAGTCTCTTCTCACGTTGTCAACACATTTCAAGTCTGATCAACTGCAAGTTTCTTTCCCAAAGAGGATTTGCCTTAGTTTAGATAATTTTCTCCTATACAAATAAACACCAAGTAAAGCTATTATATCACCAGCTCCTTTTAACAGGAAGCACAAAAGCTAAACAAAACTGAATTTCTTCATTTTGGACTAGCATTTCTCTGTATTTATTAATGCCTGTATACCTCCAAAATCACTAGGGTGACCACATTTCAACTGAAGGAAGATCTCAAACACGCTCAGATTCTCAAGTGTGTGTAGATCCGACATGCTGGAGCCCCATTATGGAAACAGCATGCCATAAATCAGGAATCAGCTGTCAGCAGTATAGTGCGTCACCTACATTAAGGGATTTCCAAGATGCAAGAAGAATGTAACTACTTGAACCGAAAAGATAAATAATATAAAATAACATAACACAATGCAAGGAACAGCACAGATACTTAAAAAAGGAACAAATTTCTCAAATGCGAATTCTGAGGTCAGTTAGCAGCTTTCAGACACTTTTAACCATGCATGAGAAGCCCATCATCACAGTTACATGCATTTGACCCCAGTTAAGTTGAACAAAAGCAGTAAGGACTGGATGAACTAACAAGTGCCTCCACCCTCAGAAAACTCCCTTTTATCATTAGGTTTCCGTTCACAGCAGTTGTGAAGTCTTTTTCAATAAAGCAGCATGTAATAGAGATTACCACATGATCCTTATGCAAATATCAGACATTCATTATAGTAACAACTACATGATTTTGTCTCTCAGCCATGTGCAATATTTGCCTCTGGTGTGCAAGGAGAGCAGCCCTAAGACGTGAGCTTCGAATAGCTGGGGGGAGAAAACCTTCGTCTCAGGTACTTGAGGACGTAGAGGGGAAGACAGCTCACCAGAGTGATGACTGTGACTTTCCACAAGAACGACAAAGTCGCAATGAAGTAAACATCTGTATAAAGAAAAGAGCACAAAGTCAAGGAAGATGGGAAGTACATCCTGGGAACAGGTTATAATACCTCAGAATCTCTGCAAAGATAGTTGAAGCATTGCTCAAAATAAAGCTGGTATACCCACACGCAAGGGATGCAGATCTAGCCCAATGCAAAGTTATCCTCATTGTCCTCAGTGTTAGCAAAGAGCTTTACGGAAGAAGCAGTGACATCTTGTGGTTTCTGCATGAACACTGGAAGAAACCCTATGTATCTGATATTTGCAACTAGACAGCTACTGGGGGAAGCTGGAATTTGTCACCCTTTTCCTTTAGACAGGGAAAAGGATTAGCTCTGTTTCAGGCAACTAAAAAAGCCCCACCAATCAACAAGTGAACCCACAAGAGAGGGGCCCCAGTGAAGGAGACAAAATAAGTTTTAGGGGGCAGCTCCTTCACCCAGTTAAAAGATGAGATCTTTCAAACCAGCAACAGAGGTTTCAATCTGTAGTCCCAAGTTCAGTCCCTTACGGAACTAAAGAACACTTGTATATGACAGCTGATATGTGGTGGAGCTCTGAAAGTACAGATAACATTCACTGGGCAGCACATACTCTACTGACCACCTTTACCTCCTGCAGCATTTTGCTGTGAGAAGAAACCACAAAATGCCTTTCAAGAGCGTTCAAATAACACAGCTTACTCAGGTCTGAAATACTGTCATTGTAATTATTTTTGGCTTCATTATCAGCCTTTAAGCTCAATTCAGCTCCTTACAGTCCTGTTACTATTCAGGTTATAAACTAACTCATTAGAGAAAAGGCATTTAACCTTACCAATAAACTCATGTAGAAAGACCAGAGAAGCTATGTAGCAGGAGAGACTAAGCAGCTCAGCCACTATCATGAGCCAGTGCCACGTCTGGATCGTCAACGCCACCATCAATAACTCAGTGAGAATCAAGGAAGTGAAGGAAATGGCAACAATATGGACAAATTCAGATTCAAAGAGGAGGAGTGCTCCATACATGATGATGCTGCCTGCAAGGGAATGGAACATTTGGGTCTTTTATTCAAACACCAGTTTAAGCTCTAAAGCCCTCTGTAAAACCCTTAGGTCTTGGAAAGGCTGAAACATAGACATGTCTTGAGAGTGTTTTTCACGAAATCTGATTAATGTAATGACAACAAATCAGTTACTATTTAGGCGACAGAACTGATGAGAAGACAGGGAAAAGTTACAGCAGAGGTGCCCAGACTTTTGTAACAGTCTATCATGTTCACAGACACACAGAGATAGGAAATTAATACACACTTATTTTGGCAGCTGCAGATTTCTAACATCCCCAAACTCTATCTTTCTCCCAGAAAAGCAGTTGGTCACTACTCAGAAGCTAAAATATATTAAATACTTCTAAAACCTACTGCATTGCCTCAGTGCCCAGCTGGAAGCAAGGTGTTGAAAAGCTCAGTGGATACAAGTTAGCTTCTCTTTGCACTACTTTGGCCAAGATCTCTCCCCTTTTACACTTCCCCCCAAAAGGAGTACATATTAAAGCACTGTTAATGATGCATTGTTTCGTGCTCCTATTCTGGCTGGCCAGGGAATGCTCACAACTCTCCACACAGCCACCTGCACAAATAACTCATGTTAGCAGCATGAGTAATCTGCACCAACATCCATCACACTAGGCTCTTTTCGGAAGGGAAAACCTGCAAGTGACCAGAGTTTGAGCCACAAAGTTCAAATGCAGCTGTGAACTTTCCAAAGTTTAGGTCTACTCAAGTTTTTGGTCAGGCTCATCTCTGCTAGTAACTAGCCCAATTGTTTGGCCGGCTGTTTTCTAGTTATTTAGCACATCAGAAATGAGGTCACTTTAACCAAATATTGTAACCAGATAGTGGTCTTAGCTCTAGAAGAAATCTTTCCCTCAATGCATCACCCTCTGGCTTTAGCTTTCCACCACTTGTGAGTTTTCTATAAATGCCTTGGCTTTGCCATCATATTTATATAGCACCAGAAGACCGTCATCCCTGTTGTAGGGTTCTACCACATTAGGTTTCAGAAAATAATGCTAACAGAGGTTTCATATTCTTGGATTCACTCCCTACTGAGCATGACTGTATCCATTAAATCAGTAAGAATTATCTGCTTACTTTGGCACATTTATTCTGACTCTTTTTCATAAAGAAGTTTTGGAAAACATGAAATATTGTCACAGAATCATATCACCATTTCAGCTTTATAGCTCCATGTTATTTACATGCTTTCCATAATTCCCCGATTAATACTTATAGGAAGTATTTGACTTTGACATTACTTGATAAAAGATAGACAAAAGAAAAGACCTGCTAGAGCTATTGCCACTTCTATTACACAGGGTTTAAATAAAAATACACAAAGCTACAGATTCTGTACTTTGCATGCTGACTTAACCTGTCTAACGTACAGGTTTGCAAACCTTTTCCAAAAGAAAGCAAGAGTCACAGGTTCTACTCTACCGATGGAGCAATGAAAGCACCAAAAGGAACGTGCACAGAATTACAAATGATGGTCCTAACGGCAAGAGGCACAATGCTTTGAACTTCTACATTGCTGCCTACAATAGGGTAGGCCAGTTGCTGCCAATATTTAGATTTAGATAATTCCTTCCTTTGGTAATGCTACCAAGATTTTCTGAGACAAAAAAATATATATTCATTAACCCAAGGAAGAATTGCTAAATTCCCTTCATGCCTTACTTCACTTCCTGCAATACAAAGAAATCAGATATTCTGTACTCATTAAAACATCTGAAGGCACAAGCAGAAGTTGATTTCTTACCTTGATAGATGCTTATTAAGACCCATATTAAAAAAGTTTTGTATGATAATGGTCGTCCCTGCAGGGGAAAGAAGAAAAAAAAGACATAGTGCCATTGGGGTTTTCTTCTATGAACATTCACTGGCAGATTAACTCAGCAACTGACAAAAGAGAACCAACCAGCCCTGAGGTACCATGTCTTTACTCTCATTTTTCCACAATGGATGAAGGAGGCCTGGGACTGTGGAAGCTCACTGCTTGTACAGTACAGTACAACCTCGTCCTTACGGCACACACGATTAATTCAATGCCAAGAGTCTCGTGAGTTTAGTCATTGTACTATGAAATATAGGATGTGTGTATACACATATATATGAACATATTAATATTATATTTCTAGACACACACACACAAATCACCATCATCTTGAAGGCAGATAGGTTTTTTTCTTTAAGAAAAAGCATCTCCAGCCAACACAGCTATACCAGCACAAAACCCCCCTATGTTTAGACCAGGCCTAAGGATGGTTGGAGAATTAGTGGTTTATGACATAAGAGACAACATACAAGTGAAACCAGATGGAGACTTATTCAGGCTGTTGGAAAAACAGGCTTTGCTTTTGAGAGTATCTGTTTAACAAAAATCCTTGAGGGAAAGGATCTGTTGAAGACTCAGTCCACCCTTTCCTTCTGTTAAGAGGGATGTTGCCAGTCTGCATACCCTAGTTATTCAGTTTTCCAGGAGAGATAAAAAAATACCTTAAAGAAAACAAAAGGAACCTAAGCCAGGATTTACCTTCCTGATATTTCCATGGTAAATATCAAATTAAGTTTTCTTTCTTTAATGAGAAGGACCCAACTTTCATGTTAAAGCTACAAAAATGGCACAGCAACCAAACCTTTAGGTCCCTTTAGATCATCCACAAGACAAATTTCTATTCAAAAAACTATGTGATAACCTCCTCCCTCCATCAAGTGAGCATATCCCTCCTCCCCACCCCCTTCTCTGGCTTCAGGATAGTGCCAAATCCCCAACAATTTCTCTTTCCCCTTTATTTTGGAACAAATCAGTAATATTAAATCCTTAGAATTTCCCACAGAATGGAAATTCTATTTTCCCAGCCGTTTTTAATAAATTGCATTTCATGTAGCATTCAATAACAAACTGCCAGGAAATCTGGTTGTATCTCTTGATTCAAATTTGCCTTTAAAACAATTTTGCTTGAAAACACATGATAAGGCTCTGTATCTATTGGTAATATATTTGACTTTACACATTTAAAGAGTTTCAAATCAAGATGAACATCTTGCCTTAAACTAAAACAGACAAACAGAAGTCTCTCGCACCTTAAGAAGATCTTTGTAGAGCTCTGGGTACAACATTGCAACTTCAGATTTAACATCCTTGTCCAGGACTAGAGAAAACACTGGAAACATCGTGTAAATTGTGGAGTACCTGGCAAGAAGGTAGAAGACCAGTAAATTATCTAAGGCGTAGATGAGCAAACAGAAATGCAAGTCTTCAGAAAGGAAATACAATATTCTTCAAGTGCCAAGTGACATACATGTTATAAAAACTTGCAAATGGAGTTGTGCATGTAGAAAAAACCTGCAGGATTTACTTTTTGAATGGCTTTTGATTAGAAACCCTCATACACAGATGATTGGCTCAAGTATTGCAATTGGTGTTAATGGAGCCAAGGACAGGCCTGTCCAAACCCCAAAGTCTGCTCTACACTTCAGGCTTCATCCTGTTTGCATCAGGGGAAATGGAGATGAATTTGCTGTTTGTTTTTTTCTTAATTATGTACACAAAAATGTAAAGTCATAGGATTACAAGTGTAATCCCAGTATATCTGGGACAGGAACTCATTCCTCCTGTTGAAAAGTTTGGGTTGTTCCCTGCTTCTGACGCTATGAGGAATTGGGCACTGGTTCTTACTGCTGTGCAGGCACCAAAGCACAAAGACTGTCCCTCTACTTTTTAGTAGGATCAAGGCAACAGCTCAGGGAGGATGGCTTGCTTCTCATGTTCTGAATGTGACAAACTGTCCTTGCGGAAAGCTTTCTGTAACTGGCTCAGTGGCTTTGCTCAGTGCAGAGGAGCAGAAGGGGGACAAGGATCACGTACATCGTCTTAAGGAATGCTGTGAAACATGCAGAGTGGAGATGTGCATGCTCTGTGTATTAATTAACCCAAATCTATTCATTGTGCACAGGTTTTCCACACTAGTAGTAAAAAGTGAGCTCTTACCCAATGATGAGAAAGCCTTGATAGAGAGGAACTGAAGCAAAGTAAAATACTGATGAGAAAACAGCCTAGAAAATAAAAGAAATAAGGTTCTCAGGTGTTAAGATATTGCAGTAACAGCTTAAAAATATACTCTGCTCAAACTGGAACATACTTGCAGCAGGCTCTCCAAGTTCCTGAAATGAATACAGAAGAATGTAATATCAACCCTTTTTATTCCTATGCAAATCTTGCATGAAAGTGATGTTTAACAGCAAACACTGGAGAGCTGGACTTGGAAAACTTTTTGTAATGTAACAGAAAGAGTTTCCTCCACAGGCCACTGGTTTGATCCAGATGTTGTGAAGAGCAGGTGTGTACTTATTTATGCTTGGATGATGCCTTCACATCATAAAAAGAGTGAACACTCACCAATACAAACTCCAAAGAGTTCACTATGACTTCTTTTTTGTCAGAAGTTATGGGTTTGTTTTCTGTTCTTGCCCTCAGCTGCAGAGTAAGCTAGACTGCCCCTTAAGCCTGAACCTTTTGTCTCTGTGCATCCCTCTCCAACACGTTTATTCCAAAGAGGGGAATAGGCAGAACCAGCCTTCTCAAAAATACAAAGTATTTTGCTCAAAAAGCATGTAGGATTTTTCAGGAATATATCAGTACTTTCTGGCATGAAAATGCAGCTCCCAAAGAGTAATCTCTGTTCTTCACTCTGACTTTCGCTCAAGTCACACAGCTAAGACTCTTAAAACTCTTAAAATCTCTTTCAGCTCTCCCTGCCAACTGGCAATTGTGTATTTGTTACACTGAGGCTCTGCACATGAGCAACGTAAATTTTGTTAATAACAAATCTATTTCTAAGGTTCCCTTTGAAACAGAGAGGAAGAGAATGCCTCCATGATGCTGCAGTGAGCTGCTGAGTACCTGGGAAGGTTAACAGGAGCTTCAGCAGCCTTTGAGCACAGCTCCGATGAACACTTCACAGCGCACGAGACTGAGCTGTGGGTAACCTCATCAAGGTCTGAGCCAGGTCCTCCTCAGTTGCTTAAATAAGGGCTTCAAATAGTGCAACTGAAGTTAAAATACACCTGAAAATAAGTGCACTTACTCAACAGAGGCCTTGAGAGTATTGCCCTGCTTCAGATTTTCAGTATTTCCCACCATTACTAAACAACAGCGCTGACATGCTGTGTGAAAGCCGTGTTTTCTAAGGTAGAATATTGTTTTCCCAATACCAGTAACTTTCTTGTGTGTTTTCAATAAAAGTAACAACCTTAAGGTCCAATCCATGAAAATTTGCAGGAAAATAAATAGTTGCATCCAGAATGAAACACTTTTACCCTTTAGGAAAGGGTAAAATGAAAAACCTCTACTTTTTGATTCGGCTTTTTCACCTCTCCACTGGAAAAACCCTCATGACAGTCCATTTACCTGCATTGTACTGATGCACAGGCTCCTGTGGATAACAAACTGACTGAGAGCTGCAGACCGTTTGTAACTGTTCCTTCCATGCACCATTAGCAAACGACCCAGATGTTTAAACTGAGTGATAGAGAAATCAGCTGCAAGTGATGCCTGTTTTCCTTCCTGTGTACAACAGCAAGTAAAAGCACAGGGAGATCATTTCATTATTGGAAACAAAGAAATATCACATTATTTAGTTATTTCTGACACAATTTCCAAGAAAATTTGCAATACATTAGGTGGAGGAGAGTATTACCTCAACACTTCTGCTTTCCACCACGGCTTATAAGCAGAGAGCAAAAATGAGAATAATTCCCATTTGAACCCTGGGCTCCAATTCTAAGCAATCCTCTGGATTATGATTCACAACGTGCATGCTAACGTGACACTCATATCAAGTCAGTACTGAATGCAAATTTTCAGTCTCAAAAGTTCAATCAATTTTAATGTTTTGGCTCACTCCATGCAGAGTCTTTCCACTGCCTCCAATCCAGCCTTGTCACTCCAAGCAGCTCTACATGCAGGAACCAGAGCTCTAATCTAGAGTTTGCTTTCTAAACAAACATAAACAGCTTTTAATTGTAAATGTGGAGTAGATGTTATCAGGGTAAATATAACTATCATCTGGAGCACCTATGTGTGATTAAAAGCTCCAAAAACTAACTATGATGGGCAGATTCCCTGAATTTGGACAAGAATCAAATAACAAACTTGAACTCTGTCAAGCAGTAGTCTCCTTTGCAGCCAAGTTATTTTTCATGATAAGGCTATGGGTCTGATGATTATTCTTGTGGAAACTCTTCATGTTCTTGCACAAATTTCTGAAGATTCATTTAAGAGTTACTTGTGAACTAGCTCCTGAATTGCCATCAGAAGCCTTATTAAACACGAGGTAATCTCACCTTTCCTTCAACTCCAACACCACAGTCAGCCTCCTGAATCATGCTAACATCATTCCCTCCATCACCTGCAGGTCAGACAAATGACATCAGTAGTTAAGCAACAAGGGCAACTTGCAAATCCACTGAAGACATCTGCACCAGACATTAAAAGAAACATTTAAGCCTATCAAATAAGCAGGATTCTAAACAACAAAAGCAAGACTGTAAATAGGAATAATGAATTCTGAATTTGACATTTCTTATCTTTGCTGGATGCCTTAGCAGTGCAAGGGCAGTTGGATGACAGCCCCACCCCTTAGTGGCTGAAAATCAGACTTCTGGTTGCCTATCACCGAGCACTTGCATTCATTTTTTAGGAAGTTTAGTTTTTAATAGAGCCAGAGGTCTGATCACTTTATCTGTCATGTAAGTGCACCTACAAGTAATCACTTACTTTAAGTACCTACAGGGCTGAAATAAAGCTCACAAATTAACAATGACACTTTACCTGATCAAATTTAAGCTCCGTTTTGCAAAGATATCACCCTAAATATTTATGAGTATTTTCTCATTGAAGTTCCCATATACAAAACTTCATCTTCTCCACCATCTCACAAAAAACTGCTTCCTAACTCAGCACTTCAGGGTTATTATGAGATAACACAGGACTGTTCACTCAAATGTAGCAGTAGTAGTAAAGCCATCACCCTACATGGTTTCTCCTCCCCAACTAGCCCCTTACCTACTGCACAGGTGAGCTTTCCAGTCCTTTCCTGGAGCAATCGCACAATCTGGGCCTTCTGTGTTGGAGCACATCTGCAGCACACGACGGCAGGGCACTGGCAAGCCAGCTCCATGAACTCATACTCATAGTATTTCAGACACACCTAATTTACAGAGATCAGAAGCGTCACCGGTGTTTGTACTGGGAAAGTTTCCTTAAAACAACATAACCCAAATTCAGCCACAGTGATTTGGGGCTGTTCCTGAGCAGCCCGAGGTGTTTGGAGCCTACCTCCAACGAGTCACCAGAAATAACAAGAGCACAGTCGTGCTTCCGGCGGAAGGCGTTCAGCTCGAGATGGGCTTCTCCACGGTTAGTCACCTGGGGAAAAACATGGCAACTGAGGAAGGGTTTGCTTCAGTGGGGTGAGAAACCAAACAAACAAGTCTCGGAGGGAGCCAAAGCAATACGGATGGGCAGCACAAGGAATTATTCAGAGCACATAGTCAGATAAACAAAAACTCAGGGAATAGAAAGCTGTGTCAAAAGGATAATGAGATTCTGAGTCTACTGCTAGAAAACAGTTGTGATCTCAGCTCCCTTCCTGCTCCAGAATTTGGGGTCACAAATAAGTCCCGAGGGGTATGTGGGTGTTACTCACTAGCCTGAATATATGGATGTCCTGTGTCCGTGTCACCAAATGTGCATTCTTGGCCGTACATGTGGCTGTCTCCAACTTATCCCCTGTCAGCATCCACACCTAAAATGCAAATATTTAATGCCTTAAATACAAAACTTAACAACCACGTCTGCAGAACACCTAGAAGTACCACCTGCCAGTTCAGGCATACAAAAGGATTGTTAGAATACATCTACAAACTATTCTTCTAAAAAGAAAGCCTTATTTTAAAACATACAAGAAAAGTCTCACAGATGAAAGCAAAGCTTTTAAAGAGGCTGAAATGCAGAAGAAGTTACAAACTATAACATTTTTTCCCACCTGCAATATTTCAAGATTCTGCTGATAAACCCACAAAACTCAAGCTAAAGAATGTGTATGCGTGTGCTAATGGGTCCCACCCCACCTATTTCTCATACGCTGAAACAAACGGGCCCTGCTGCATAAAGATCCCTCGTGGCCCTGCCTGAAATATGGATGATGCAACTGGGGTTAGCTCACTGCTGATGTGTGCGTCTGGAACAGACTCCGTTGGTTGTTGCTTTTCTATTTTTTTCTTGTTAAATATACACTGCTCCTTTTATTTTGTGCTGGTGAGGGGGGGTGTTAGAAAGCAATGTCAGCAGCTATACCCAGCAGCAATACCCAGTTATAATCTGACAGGAAATTCTCTCAATAGTGTAAATATACCAGAGTTTTGGGGTTGGATTTTTGTTTTTCCACTGATGTTTTATTCTTTCAAGACACCACCCAAGAGTATTTCATGAAACTTAAAAAAATATATATATTTATACCTAACACAAAGAGAAAAACCAAACCAAAACAAACCAAACCACACAAAGACTCACTTATTTGTTCAATAATCTGAGGTTGGAAAGAGATTTGATCTTAACAAGATGGTCCCTGTAATGAATTACAAGACCGCCTTCCTCTTGATTTACTTCTTGCATGCAATACCCTGATGAACATACCATTGCAAGGAGTGCTCTGAAGTGCCGGCCTGGCTGTGTGATGACACAGCCCACACCCTGACACTGACTCCAGCCAAGGTGGAGAGAAAAAAAGCAAAACCAGCTTTGGAATAACTGGCCAGGGCTACGCTGCAGGGGGAAAAACCCACAGTCCTGCTAAAGAATTGTCTGATTCCACTCATCTCACTTCTCTGCTCAAGTCCTTGCTGTTGACAGGGATGGTTCCAAACAGAAAACGCTTTTGGAAGCTTGCCCCAAGCCTTGAATTCCACTTCCTACCTAAATCCCAAACACACAGCCCTGCTCTGGATTCACAGCATGGCTCAAGATTTTTGCTCCCATTGCTGCTTACAGCAGAGAAATCACGACCAGAACCTTTTACCCACTTTTTTCACCCAAATCTGAATATTTACTCCATTTATATATATTTTTTTAACTCCTTTTTGCAAGTTTGGGCTCTGACCGACAGGTTTCCCTAGATGGGAACTAAGCAGCACCACCGGTTCCCCCGCCGCTGAGCACACAGAACTAAAGTCAGCCCAGCGCCCGATTCTCTTGGCTCACACCCCCTCTAGTGGCTACTGAAAAGCGGTATACGCACAGCTTCAACCCCCGCACAGGAGTTGGTGCACCAGGGACCCAACACACCCAAACCCCACTTGTTTCATACAACATCTGAAACAAACTATTGCCCAAAAGTCCCTGCCTACACACTCGGCTTCTCTGCAGATGGAGCCAGAGCATGTTACGGGAAGATATCCTGTTTTCAGCTGGAACAGAGTTAGTTTTCTTCCTAGTAGCTGGTGCAGTGCTGTGTTTTGGCGTTAGTCTGAGAATAATGCTGATAACACACCAATGTTTTAGTTGTTGCTAAGTAGCACTTGCCCTGATCAAGGACTTTTCAGTTTCCCATGCTCTGCCAGTGAGGAGAACAAGAAGCCAGAGAGAGCACAGCCAGGACCTGAACTAGCCAAAGGGGTATTCCATACCATAGAACATTATGCACAGTATATAAAGTGGGGGGAGTTAGCCAGGAGGGGCTGATCACTGCTCAGGGACTGGCTGGGCATCTGTCAATGGGTGGTGAGCACATTGCTTGTGTTTTCTCAATTTTCATTTTTCTTTTTTTGTTGTTCCCTATTATTAGAATCAGTATTGTTATTGTTATTATTTCTATTATCACTATATTTTACTTTATTTCATATTAAACTGTTCTTATCTCAACCTGTGGGTTTTACATTCCTTTGATTCTCCTCCCCATCCTGTCCAGGGAGGGGAAATGGGGAGAGTGAGCAAGTGGCTGTGTGGTCCTTAGTTACCAGCGGGGTTTAAACAAGATCAGAAGAAAAGCACAAAAGGTGACACGCTTTCATGTGTTTACTGTTTCCAGCATGTTCTGTTCCCAACGTGATGTTTAAAATGCATTGACCAGCCCTACTGTTCCCACTTAGAAATGACACCTGGTGAAGCATGCAGCTTGACAGGGCCTCCACACTGCCAGGACTCACTGGCTGTAGGGCAGTGCCACATACTCCAGAGGGTCTAAGTGTTCCAGCTGGGAATAACACCATGTTGGACAGACCTTAATGCCAGCATTCCTCAGTGTCTCCAGAGTGGGTCTGACGTCCGTCTGGAGCTGATCCTCCACGCCGGTGAGACACAGAAGCTCCATCTCCATTTCCAGGCTCTCGATGACTGTGGCTACCTTCAAGGAGCGGTCATGCACACTTAGCTTCGCCTGGACGTAGCGTGCCTGAGGACAGAGCAGACACAACCACTCACTCACACAGCCAGCCTGCAGGTTAACCAGTTAACCTCCTGCTGTTAACTCTCATTCAAGGGATGCCACCTGTAATGGCTGGCGAACATGAGGTGTGTGTTACAGAATAAGGTGGAAATTACTTCAGGAAGTTACTGTCATTTTGTCCCTGTCCTGTTACAGCTGGGCAGCACAGTGCACATCACATCCATGCGCACACCAATGCACAGCAGCTGCTGAAGTGGCATCTACAGAAACCCTGGAAGCAACTCCCTTGTACCACAGGTCTAACCATGGTTTTCACAACTAACACATCTACAAACAATGGCAATGGAGAATCCTAAGCATTTCCACTATCTCCTCTCTGCATTTAACTTAACAGTTCCGGTTCACATTTTGCCTGGCTGGGGTAAGCAACATAGTGCTGTGTGTAAAGACCCATCTAACAAACCTCACGTGTGAAGCCTGCGTTTCCATGAAGCTCGGCTGGGTTATATTGTGGTTGTTTGTAGTTTCCATGGATGTCAGAATGCAACAATGAAAACTGAAAGCCAACACATTTCCCCACACAAACACAACTTGTCTAACAAATGATGAAGATTTGCAGAATTTATCAGTGTGAAAGATTATAAGGCAGGATTCAGGAACTGTTTTGGAGGGTCCTGGCTGGGATCCAATTTCATACGTATCACTTAAAAAGCAACTTTGACATTGAAGGATGACAATGCTAGCAGGAGGAGGGAGATGAGAGGCAGCATTATCACCAGAGGTCTGTCAGAATCACTTCAGTGACTGTTTGTTTAAAACCAAAGAAAAGTAAACAAACAAAAACTTACTTCAAAGTCTTGATACTGCTCTTCCGTCAGAGACTTTTTGGCTACGACAAGAACCCTCAGGCCTTCCCGAGCCATGTTACCACACTGGAAAAGAAATATCACACTGTACTGTGAACTCCATCACAAGTAAGATGATTTATGCACAGCATTGCAGAGATGGCAATGTAAGATAGCAAGTTAAGAAAATAACCATCCTATCTGAGCAACCCTAGTGAGTCTATAGCATCTGATAAAGTGCATGATAAACCTGAGAGGAAAAAAGGAGACCTGCAATAGTTTGTGATCTATACCAGTGATCAGAAACAAAAAATGTTCTCTCTGCTGTACCAGTGTGACAAAACCAACCCCACTGATTTCATTTCCTCCATGTGTAAGTAAATGGACACAAGCCTTTCATTTGCAGACTTCACCTATTTGGCCATCAACTCTTAAAAATAAGACCAAAGTAATACTATTTCTTTGAACACCAGGGTTTGGAGGTGGAGAGAATCAGTAACGGAAGGTACTGCTGTGAACTCTGCATCAGCATTACTACTGACCTGATAGGGATATCCCAGTATAAAGCTGCCCAATGTAGTTTTGAAACTAGACCTTTCAGTCTACAATAAATACAAACACAGGATCAAGCCCAGGACAAATGTGGTGACCTTGAGTGACAATCCATTCTGAGCAAAATCCATTTTACTTACAGGACTTTCTGCAGTAAGTGTGTTGAACTCGCCGCCTGACTTTTTTTGTTCCAACATATATATTTGGCTGAAGTCTAATTCAATGAACTGCCAAGACATCAGTGACTTTCTGACTCACAGATGTTTTAGCACTTATGAACACCCTGCCACGCTGACAAACTTTGTCATGCATTGCCCTGGAAGGAGAAAAGCACTCGCATGAGAAACCCTGCATACATAGGGGAGACAGACCCATACCTCCTCCTCCAGCCAGTCATTGTACTGCACGATCCCAGCCATCACTACATCAGCGCCCTTCATATAGAATGTGATCTCTCCTGTTGATTCATCCTGCAGATAAGAAACAGAGAGTCTAAGTTGGGCTACTATTAGCATATCTGGAGTGGCCTCAGCAAGCTAAGTGATGAGTTTTCTGCACACCAGTCACAAAAAATGCCTGCACTGATTCAGGCTGAAGGTCCATCTGTCTGGGGGCCAAAAGCAGATGCCTATTCAACTGCAACGTGGTTAATTTAGAGTAGAAATTAATGGTTTAGACAAGGATGATGAGCTTTTTAATCTGCAACATGGCATTTCCACGCAGACACCTCTCAATCCTGATTGTGCATGCCTTTGGAATAACCTCTGGTCCTCACCTAGAAAATTTATTTCATACTTACCTGAAGCAATAAAACAGATGCACGAAGCTTAACAGAGTAAAATCCAATCTAATTTACCCCCTCTGTTACATTATACAGCATAAGCATAATTAAAGTTTACATTTGCCACAGAAAGGTTAGACTGCTGCCTGCCTTACCCGATACAAGTAATTTGTAGGCTGCAAGCAAAGCATATTTACATTACCACAAATTAAAAAATCCCTTCTAACCAGGCAGATATCTAAGGAGGTCACAGCTATTAGTATTACAAGCTAATGGAAGCCCTGGCAATTTCCTCAAAGGAGACAAAACAATGAGTAAGGGACAAACTGCTCTGTAAACCAAGATAGCCACCAGGGATAAGAAGAAAATAAACTTAACACAGTAAAACAAAAAGCCCAGGAAGGTCTGGAAATACACAGCTGCAAATGAAGGGTGGAAAATACTCGAGTAAAAAAAAGGTATTAAAGAAAAGCACAGTGGACACTTTCTTTCTTACACTATTAATATACATGGCAATCTCTTCCACTATTACAGAAAATAGCAGTGAAGGTTCTCATACACTAACAGTTTGAGTTGGTAGGTAGAAGTCTAACACCCTGTGGCAACGGCAAAACAGTTTATAACCACAGCTTAAAAGAAAAGCAGCAGCTAATGTGGATAAAAAAGCAAAGATGAGAAGCAAGTGTCTTTGCTAGGGAAATTAGGAGCAGCCAAAGATAACAAAGCTCCTTTACTGAATATTTTTGCCAAACTCATAGAGATATTCACGAGGAAGATTCTTATAATTCATCTTAAGCACAGTTTTCAGTGAAACATCCAACACGAAAACTTCGTATACTGATACCCCCACATCCCCAAAGCAAAATGCGTGTCAGCCTACCAAAACAACCAGAATCCGCTTAAATAAAACAACACTTTTGGCAGTAGCTAAAGGTAAAGGTTTATCTAGTAAATTATTTGATTAAAAAGTGTCTAACAACATCTCTGTAGGAAACTGAATAAAGACTCCACTTCCCGTGCTGCAGAACTGGCTTAAGATAGTTTAGATTTTTTTGTCCAATATAAATACTGTATCAGCTATCTCCTTGCATTAGTCATTTCCTCTCACCGAGTTCAATAGGAGGTTAGTGCATTCTCATATTATGGTAAGATCACACTATAAATCTACACGGAGATTTGCCAGTTATATTGTTTTGGAGAGGCATCTTTTTCCACCATGGTCTGACTCTGGTCATGGTTCAAAGGCTTCTTTCAATTCCAGATATGACAATAGCACTATCTTTGCTTTACAACAAAGATCATTCCACATGGGTAAGGGGAAAAAAAATGCAAAGAAAAAGAAGAATGGAAAATATTGTGGTCAAAAAAACAGGCCTTCTTTCAAGAAGATAAGTCAGTAAACAGGACAGGGAAGAGCGGCTGCTTTGGTAGAAACAAGACTTCTCAGAACTAAAATAATCAGCTGCAGAATTGACAGTTGCTAACTAGCAAACACGGAGATAGGACAAAAATATCCCAAACAAGGCAACATCTGCTACTTGTTTCCAGCATTAACTACAACTTTATTCACTAAAAGTTATATGTTGAAGGAGATCTTTTTATAGGAGCCAGAGTGGACAGGACCAGCAGGGAGATGGCTGACTCTGCCATCAGTAACAGCACTGTAGGGGTGGGCACATGAATCACTCACTGAAACTCCATACCCAGACTGTACAGGAAGCCTGGCAGGATGATCCCACTGGCTCCTGCAGTGGATGCAGTTTACAAGAACAAGCAATATCCGTATGGTGGAACAGAAAATACTGCCATTTGAATGCTACTCACTACGGTTCTGAGTGCAGTCTCAGTCGGCAGTTCTCCCTCCCTCTCCTTCCTGGTTGCTCACTCTGTTGTCTTCTGGATACTTCAAGCTACTTTCCTTCCTTTTATTTCTGTTTTTTAAATAAGTTTTAAAAGATACAAATTTTTAACCAAGTTTTAAACTGTTTTTTAACAGGTTTAGAAGATACACTGAAAAGGTAAACACCTTGTGTTTGTGTTGTGGATCAAAACCAAACGGCGTGCCTACACATGCATACATGTATATTTAATCAAAGAAAAATTTAACTTGACAACTACCTGTTTGTAAACCCTTTTTTTCCCCTTTTTCTTTTCAACAGAAATGAAAACCCTGCTTAAAGTAGTATTTTGGGAATACATAGGAACATAGTAAAGTAATACCTAGGCGCCCAACATGTGCTACTCACACCCTACTTCCGCACAGGGTACATAGGGAGCTGATCTTAGCGGCTTAACAGCAACTTATCAGCAAAATAGATACTCAATTAACAAGCACAACAGAGAGGGGCCAGTGCTTCTATTAACAGTATTTACGGTCAAGATCTGTGCCTGATGTTGCTCCCACTGACCACAAGTGGGAGTTTTGCTGGTTTTGGTAGCATTAATATTCTAAATACAGAAATGCAAAATAGAAATCTTTTTCTTCCTAATGGGGGAGAATGTAGGTAATAGATAACTTAAAATGAATAAGCTTCAAATCAAAGTGAGGGAGGAAGGGAAAGACTCTCATCCACTTAGATGGGAAATTTCAGAGCATGCACTTCTCTGCTGAGCATATGAACACGCTGTAACGAAGCGCACCCCGGCTTCGATGCTCAGCCCTTTTCTTACAACTGTGATAAAACAGCATCTCATCTGAAGTTTGCACTTTCAATAAGCAGTGTGGAGGGAGATGGTTTAATCCTCCATCTTTTATTGCTAACGTTTTTATTCTAGGTCTTGAAAAGGTCACCTGAAGTGTCCTCATAATTTCCACTATAAAAATAAATAACCCGAAGGATCGACATTTGCTGTATTTAAATGGATATGCACTATGCTTGCTGCAGCTGCCCCACACAGCATGAGACATTTGCAAGAACACTAGCATTGCTGGCTATGTACTTTCAATGGCATTTTGTTGAACTCTAGATTCACAGATTTAACACACTGATTACTTTGCACAAGCTCAGCCTATCAGCCCACTTCAACTAACATTCCTGCCCTTGGGCATGTTTTAATATTCCAAAGCCTGGAACAACTCAAAATACAAATTTGTGCCCCATACACTGTAGTGTGTTGTGTGATCCAGAACTCGAAAACAGTTCCTTGAACAACAGTAGATTCACATCCATAATACTCAGACGGGATAACACAAATACAGCCACTTGCGTGAGCTTTAACAATGTTCAATCCACATTAAACACATCTTGACCTTCATGGTTTGTGGAAATAACTGTATGCACCTATTACAGTTCCATCTTTATCACCAGATATCTTGGTAGCAGCAATACTGAAGTTCTCTAATATTTGTTGTTGTTGAACACAACCACTGTATTGCTCCATTTTACGTCATCCCTTCGAGATGCCCTTCATTTCTGACAGTGGCTGTGCCCTCCCAGGCCTCCAGGGAAGCTGAGATTCGTGAAGCTACCAAATATCAGCCGATAAAGCAGACTACATTAATCTGCTGTCGATGAGAGCCATGCATGCAACGCTGATCCTGACTGCTTCTAACTAAAAACAAAGGCAACTCCTCCTATTGTAACTTAAAATACATGAGGCAGAAGATATTTGTACACCCTATTTCCTGACACCCCAAAACAAACAGCCAGTTTTACCACAGAGTAAATGAAGGGCGGGGGGTGGGGGATAGTTACAAACCCACCAATCTTACCTACCCCTTCCACCCTAACAAACATATAACAAACTTGCACTTCCCAAGAAATGATACAACAAATTATATCGTGCCCTGGATTACAGGTTTCATATTCATGGTTTAGATTCCTGGTACCACTTATCTATCTGTACTCTCAGTAGAAATTAACATGGATGTTGTAATTATCTCCAAAAGAAATATTCAGACTGCTTCACCTTGTTTGATTCGCAGGCAAATGGAAGTGTCTTACCATAGCTGGGCTTGTTTACCTTGCTAACACAGGCTCTCCAGCACTATCTTGAAAACTAAAGACGATAACAGAGAACTGATCTCAAATGGTTTTAACACCCAGACTTTCTTCTTTCTTTTAAACTACTTTTTTTTCTCTGAAAGTCCAGTCTTTTATTGTATTTGTATACAGAACCATAAAGTTACGTATGCAATTTCAACTGGGCACGTATTTAGCGTGCGCAGTCCCTGCAGCTGCTGATCAAGGTACTTGCACAAATGCACCCTTTTACCTTTACTCAGCTATTTTCAAGCCCTGCTCATGACACCACATTCTCAGCATGGCTGCAGGCTCTAGTATATAGCTCAAAAAAAGATCCCTGCAGCTGTTAAGTGCTTCCATGGGAGTGGAATCCAGTGCATCCCTGCTGCCATGCTGTACTTCCATGGGATCTGAAGGAACTTTCAATGCCTGGCAGAGATCTGGGGAGCACTTCCAAAAAAACCCACTAACAATAACCAAAAGTTATTTGTTGTGGCATCAGTCAGGATCCCCTCCCTCCTTCCCACTTGCTGTCATCTCCATCACTCCCTGATGTGCCACCACAACTGCTTCGGAGACGCAGTTTAAGCTGGACCCGTGAACCTGTTTGAGTTCCTGCTCCTGGCTGACCCTGAGGAAGGGAAAGCATTTGTGACCTGGGTCACCTCACAGCCCCAGTCCATCATACAGTCCCCCCAGCTCTGCCAGCACAACTGTAGCATGGATAGGACAGGCAGGAGCTTTTGGACAGATGAAAAGACAGCCCCAGGGTCACAGATTGAGGCTTCAAAGCCATTCCCCCTTGTCCTCTCCCTACCTGCCCTTGTAAAAAGTCCCTCTCCAGCTTTCTTGTAGGCCCCTTTAGGTATGGGAAGGCTGCTATAAGGACTGGAAGGCTGATGCAAGATCAATACGCTAAAGATATTCCAGGGCATTACAGCACTTACTACAAAATACAGACAAGAAAAAGATGTATCACCCAGCAGTGAGATGCCATTAGCTCAAAACAGAGAACTAACCTAGAGCCTGAGCTAGAAAAGACTGCAAAACTCAGCCAGGAAGAGCAGCACGGGTGAGAACAAGTGGTTTACAGGTTTCACACTGTGTTAGCAGGAGAGTCAGAGACACGAGAGCTTACCCGAAGCCACTTACCCGAACGATTATCCCCATGCGCTTGCTCTCGTAAGTGAAGGGGAAGATCTGGAGGATGGTGAAGTTCAGGATGTGGCCACCCGGTGTCCTCAGCTGCACGGAGGACTGATCTCTACCCACCAGTGTTAAGCCCACGCTCTCAGTCCACTGTACCAGGGCCACCTGAAAGGAGAAGGCCACAGTGAGGGAAGCCAGGCCAAGCCATAGCCCCCCTGAGGAGCACCAGAGGGGAAGGGGTAGTGGGTGGGGGCTGCAGAGAAGCTCATTAGTCATTACTGGCACTACGGATCAGTTCACACATGCTCCTATATGGCTCCTTCTAGCTGGCTCTTCCTGAGGTTAGAAGCTTACTACCAGTGTTTTGGGGGTTTGGGCAGCCCAGCTCCTGCCTGATTCAGCGGATGGACTATCAGCAGGAGGTGGACAGATCCCTGCCTTTGACTACCACATCCCAAAGGACAACCCTGCAGCCATGGCAGGCACCGGCACCCTTTGCCCAGACCGGAGGTGCTCGGACACATCAGGCACATCTCTTTGCAAACACTTCTTGAATGTGTTTTTTCCCAGTTTGCTGTTTATGAAATCAAGAATTCAAAACAGTGCATTCACCCTGGATTTACAGTATCAAAGCCAGAAACACTAATGCAGAGCACATTAACAATTCATATTAAAGAAAAGGCAAACAAAATGAGCTCTGTGTTACACTCTGGTAGTAACAGTTCATCAACAGCTTTCAACCTCTACACTGCGAGACAGCTGAAGGCTGGCTCAGGCACCTATTAGCAGAGAATCACTTCTCCCCAAACATTAAAAACACCCCACCAAAATAAAAACCCCAAAACAGACCCCAAAGCGTTCAAGGCACGCACCAGAACTAATTTAAATGAACTTATGTGGGTATCATCTTGATTGCAGCTCCTACAATTTAAGGACCTACACCAATAAATCCATCATAAGCTTTCACTTAGATTACAACCAGTCATGACAGACAACCCAAGCCTTTATTTTGCTTCCCTGACAATTCCACCAGAATCCTCACCTCAGCTGACACATCCATCTAAGATCCAGGCTCCTGAGATACAGGGGTTTAACTCTAGAAGCTGTCTTGGCAGTAACAGATGGGAGCAGCAGCTGACACGAGCCCATATATCACTGGCCTCCAGAAAGGATCAAGGGATACTTTCTCCAAACAGACATGAAATACTGGAAGTATTTTACAGTGACATTTTCAAAGGCATGAGAGTGCTGGGCACATGGTTGCTGCTGATTTGAAGGTTTATTATCCCTTGTGCCTTTCAGGTTCTGCCTTTAATGCCTTAAGTGACCACAAATGCCTTAGACAAAAATAGAATTTATTTGGGGAAATTATACATAAGATACAGATAAAAATGGAAGCATTTATAATAAAGACCTTTAAATCAATTTGAATCAATATTTGGTTTAACATTAGCAAGTTTTTGCAAGCTTATTCACAAAGATTACAACAAATCAAAGGCCCATTCAAGCTTATCGTGTCCAAAAGTTTCTTCAAGCCATCCTTGGTGCATTAAGGTGTGCAGTCAGATAATCCTCTTAACTGTCTCCCAGAGCAGATGGGGTTTGGGTCTCTAATACTCTGGTTAAGAAATAATTATCAGGAATTTTTCACAGCATGAAGTTATGCGATGCTCCATGTGCGCAGCACTGTTGATCTGCCCATGGTGGTAAGCTGCAAATCTCTGGAGAGAGAAATCTCTGCTCCCAGCTCAGCCCTTAAAGCATCTCCTTTGCCACTTTCTTTCACAGGCACCTCCTCCCCCGACAGTCTCATTTAAATCCTATGTCAGGAAGTATTGAAGCCTTGTGCAGAGGAACAAATGGATGAGCAGCACGTCAGAGGTGCTGCGTCATGCCCGTGACATGCTTCAAACTGTGCTGCACTGAAAAACACCAGCCACTCCCAACAGCCCTGAGACTGCAAAAAGATACATCAATGGAAGGGATGAATAATGAAAGATATCCCCCTTTGCCATTCTGCTCCTGAGAAGGCATGGGTCCTGCCAACCCTTAATGGCCCTCCAGGTGAACTGCATTCAGCACCAGAGGGGAAGTGGGGCTGACCCCTTTGAACATGCCATTTCCCAGCCTCTATAGTGCTTAATGAATAAATTACTGGGAAAGAAAGTGATATAATTTTGAAGTGCTCCCGTCAGATGTACTAAAAGCACTGACATTACCATCCCCATTCAACAAGCAGCACAACAGGCCCAGGCTTTGGGAAGTGCTGATGGCTCTTCTGCAGGGTCTGGGCACCCCAAGACAGGGAGCACATTCCAGCTCAGTTGTGAGACAGAAGAGTTTTGCTCTGTGCCATCCAAACAGATAGAAGTGCTCTCAGTCACAGCAAAAAGAAACATTCAAAATGCAAAAATACGTTTACAGCTTAAACCAGTTAGATTTAAAAACAGGCTTGAAACCCCTCAAACGCCTTCAAGAGAGTCCACACTCACTGATGAGGGGAAACGAACAAAGCCCCTAACCACAGTCCAGGATTCTGCAGCTCCATCCAGGCCAAGTCAGATACAGATCTGAGCATTACAAAGCAGAGCAGCTACACACTATTCCCCAAACTTTGCTCTTTCTGACAATTGAATTACCCAAGCCGCCACTGAAGTGGATATCGACTAATAAATTTCATTCTAAAGAGACAAATTGATCCTTCGGTGCCATGAGTTGCTCTACAAACGTCCCATTTAGGGTTGCCTAGGCAGGCAGACAGCAAGCAGAAACCAATTGATCGGTGCACCCTTTCATGTCCTGGCAGCTGCAGCGGGTTGTCTGGGTTAAAGACTGTTTGCCCAGGAATCCCAGGCACTCTTATCTCTGATCAGATTATATCTATTTCATTTCCCCTGTTAGTTACTGTATGGCTACAACTGACAACTGGCTTGCAGAGCCCCAAGGCTGTAACTGATATCTGAATAAAGATACTTCAAGACTTCTAAATGGCAGCGTGCACAGGAAACAAATTTAGGAAATCCTGCTTTCTGTTACAGGAAATGAATCCTATGCCAACTGGTAGAAATTACCCTTGCTGTTAAAGTAAAGAGAATACAAGTTTTTGTACTCATTTCATAAACTGACCTTCCCTGCCATGGCAATATTTTATTGATATAGGATTTCAAAGGCTGGCTTTAACAGGAGTCCAGAGCCATTCCTCTGCAGGGAATGCTATTTAACAGCATTGCTCTTTTCTAAAGGACTCAACTTGTGCTGATCCTGCATTTTGTACCATCTAGTATGACATACACAGAGCATGTCTAAACAGTATTTGTATATCTAAGACCTACAGACAAGATTTCCTCAGTGCAGCAAAACATATCTGATTTCTGAACCCACTGTAATTCACCACTTAAGACACCACAAGAAAGGAAAAAAGAATTTAAACAATAAACACGGGTTAGTTATCATGCTATAGTAAAACAAACAAACAATAATCCCTTGGGTATCTGAGACAAATTGCTGCATAAATATTTTAAAGACAGAACAGTATAAAGCAAAAAAGGAAAAGAAAAATAGCTGACTTCACTATATACCACTGCATACATGTAAATAAACAGAGGATCTGGGCAAAAAATAGCCAGTAAATGCTTTGGGGAAAAAAAAAAAACAACAAAACCAAAAAACCCCACTCAAATGGAGATCACAAAAAAAATACCATCTGGAAATCATTCGGACCTCATTTCAATCCAAAGGCAGTTGCTTTCTGTCAGCTGTACAGGGGACAGCAACACACTAGAGGAGAAAAGCAGGTAAGCAAAATACTGTCCCAGATTACGTGGTGGGAAAGGACATAGATGCACACTGCTCACCAGCTCCAAAGCCAGGGAGGAGTAAGCGCTTGTCACTATAGGCACACCAACAGAGGTGGGAGATAAGTAAGTAAGGGTGCAGCTTTGTATAGTACAGACAAGAAGACACTGTGTGAAATGAATGGTCTACTTTGGAAGAAACACTACAGGGAGTATTTTGAATGCACATGAAATGCAGAAGCTAACTCTGTGTGCCAGTCCTTCCGTAATACATGGGACAATCTCTAAATCCTCACACAGCTGGGCTTCTAATGAATAAATTTATTCCTACGCATACAATTTCTCACCTCTAAGAATGAGGAAAGCCAGCTTCCTTTCTGATGTCAAAGGTGAAAAGGTTATTACAGGGGGCAAACCTGTTTTATCTGGGGCAATAGACGGAAGAACCCTCCAAATGTAGTCAAATGGATGATAAGATCTCATGCTGCCACTAGGATTCTTATGGGAAGTTTCAAACTTCAGTCTTTCAAATGGCACAGAGCAAGTGTAATTGTACAAATTAACAGAAAACAAGTTGTTTTACTTTGGTCGCACTAAAGAAGTATCCAAGAAGTACAACCAATACAGGAAACCCTATTTTATTCCTCCTGTCTTCATCGCAGAAGGAAACAACACACTAATTAGATTTTCCAAGCTTTGCAGAGGGTGGTAAAGAATGCTTCAGCCCTAAATCCTGTAGTGAATTTGATCTCTCAGGTGTTCAGTAAGAGTCTCCAGTGAGTCTCCAGTGAGCTGTAAAGTTCATCCCTACTGTACATCCCTGCATATCCCTGGCTGGACTGAGTGCCAGCAGAGAACTGGCAGGGCCCAGCTTTGCCCTGAGACAAACTCATGCACTTAACTCACTGTGCAGAGTTAACCAGGGCTCTGGGTCTGTCCTGTCTCCATGGGAAGGGATGCGTCCTGGATTAGCAATGATATCCAGTGTGATTTACAACTCTTCACTTGGTCCAGAAATCTGAACCTTGAAGGTCAGGGACAAGCTGACTTGCGGGAGTGCTCTAACCCCTTCCACAAGTCATTATCCCCCAAATAAGACAAGATTACCTATAATTTAACAAACATTGTCAAAGGGATTCACATCTCTGAACTGCAAAATATACCCTGGACAAAACGTGCAGAAACACCAGCAAAACTGCGATGCAGAAGAGCCAGATCATAGTCATTATGTAGCTCTGTAGCTTCAGGCAGAGAGGCAGATTTGGCTTAAGTGTATCAGCTGAGAGAGCACTCATGGTCTGTCAGTTATCAGTGCAATAAATACATTAAAATATTATCCCCTTCACTAGACAGGAATACTTTCACCAAACAGTTTTTTTCCCAGGGGCAAGCAAGGTCGTATTTATATTTTTATACAGCCAAATGGATACTGACCTCATCAGGACTGGAGGCCTGGTACACCCTGCAGGAGTCCTCATAGTGTCTCTCAGCTTCAGCCTGGTCTGTCACTCCATTGGACTCGTACACTGGTGTCACGTTGTGGCACAGAGCAATTGCCTTCACTGCCTCGTGTACTCGGCTGCTCATGGTTTTACGCACCTTGGTGGCCAAGGCAAGGCCCTTCACAGCAGGTGGGTCCTGAGATTGCTTATAAAAAAGGAAAGCGGAATAAAGTCTTATTGCAGGAAGAAAAGAAAAGAAGATAATTTAAAGTAAGTTTTCACTTCAGTGAAGATCATACATGTATCAGCTGCACACGTTCATGTCCCCAGCAATGAGATGCGCTCTTCATATACCTTAACTCAGACCATTGCTGGGAACACATCCCGTTGTAATGCAACCATTGCTACTGGTGAAGTGCCCCAAAAGATGTACCTAAGGTTTTGGAACTGTACCCTCTGAAGATGACCCTTTGTTGCAGATCCAAACAGCAACTGGCAAGAGACCAGTCAGAGGACTTGGTGAAACCACATTTAGCTCCATAAAAGACTGGTGACTCTGAAAATTCAGTCAATTGCATTCCATGTACAAGAGAATATAATTGCCAAAACCAGAAAACAGATGACTTGTATGGGCCTAGAATTAATTACATTCATTTAATTTTTAATACTATTTTTAGTATCAGAATGGGAGACTTCAGATAATTACACAATTACTAAATTATCCTGGTTGAAGAAGGGACACACAGTGATCTAGTTTCCTGCTCTGTTAACCTTTAGTGTCAAAAGGACAAAAGTTTCACTTCCAGGTCAAAGGCCACAACATGGTAAAAATAAGAGCAAAGAATAAGAACTACAGTTCAAAATGAATCACTGCCAGCAAATGCTTCTCATTATAGGGAATCTCATTTGGTAATTATAAACATTTTATGAGACATAACCTTTACCAGTTTAATTCCACATGCTATTTTCCATGCTCTAGGGATTACAACACACAAGAGCCGAAAATTTAATATTCCTGCTTATCAGTACTTTTGCAACAGGCTTTGACCAAATCAAACAACGACAAACCTTCAGCTGAGGTGCATTTAAACTGATATAAAGCACTGGTCACAAACTGGACTTGTCAGTCACCCAAACATCCGTAACAAATATTGAATACTTTGGCAAATAATTAACAAGTAGTCAAGTTTTCTCTGGAGACTGAGTAAAAAATGAGAGTAAATAGATCTGAAATCTGTTTTTTGTTGTTGTTTAAGTACAGTTCAGTCATTTAAGGATCTCAATACCAAGAGAAGAACCAGATGCTAAGGTGGCTGTGAAAACAGAGGGGGGTGGAGAGAGGAATAGCAAGAGGAGTTACAAGTTACCGGCGACACATGACAGTGAAGAAGAGAATTACTCAAAATACCAGGTATTTTATCAACCATCATACGCTTAGTTAAAAGCACATTGCATCCCGACAGCCTGCCCAGTAAAGGGCTATGCCACCAAACAGATCACTGAGGTCAAGGAAACCTGCTGTGTGTCTTTACCACCATGAACAAAAGCCAAAAATAAGAATCCCATTTACAGTACATGGTGCCTTTTTTCCAGGCAAGAATGCTGGCTTCATGTTTCACTTCGTGGGGGGTATAGAAAGTGTACTTGAGTCTAAAACCTCTAAAGCAAAGCAAAATCAATGTGATGTGAAAAACCCAGTTCACTGCATCGGGTGTGCATCATCAAGGCACAGGCACTTGAGGAACTACTTCTGCAGTTTCCATAGGAATGAAGCTATTCCACAACTCTTAAGAAATGAAAATGTTTCACATATGACATGGGAATAGTAACTCATCACTAATGTCTGCAGATTGCATCTCTGGAATCACATTTTACAACAGGAAAAAAAATCTAATAGTAAGTCACAAGATAAATGTTTCTATCTGAAGTTGAGAGATTGGTTATTAACAGAATATGGAAAATAATGCTTCCATGATTACATTATTAGTGACAATTCTTACATGTTTTGTAAATACCACACAGAGAGGTAGCTGGAACATCAGTCACTGACAGCTGAATATTTTTTTCCTCAAGGTAGTAGTATTCTTAAGTAAAACCTCATCCCTTGTTTTACAAAGGAAGTATATGCATCTATAAGAAGCTTTGATTGTCCATTGTAACATGCTAAGGAATATTATTTGCAGACCCAGACAAGTCACATGGCATTACCTGGTTATCATAAAAACCTGAAATTAAGAATAGAGATGAAGGCTTTGTAGATGCTGGCTCATCTGTGATACTGGAAGAGGAATGCTAGGGAGAAACTTCCCAAAACAGGATTTTCCTGTTCTGTGCTTTACATGTTGACTTTGCTGCCTTCTTTAGGCACAGATAGTTCTCAAAGCAGATGTCAGTTATGCACCACAGAATTCGTTAGCGTATTAGTGAAAGAATTCCACTTCTACCATTTTCTTTTTTAACCATTGGGCCTAAAGCAGTGATACTGATACACTGTTCTACTGTTCTCTGTTATCGCTTACCGAGTCCTTCAGACTTTTCCAAGAAGTATAAGCAGATCCATGCCATATTAACTCATCTTTAGACCAGTGACCTGGAAAACTTGTGAACAATGATTTAAGTAATGCAACTTAATTCTACCTGTGTATATATACTGAATATGTGGCTCTGTACTTCATCCATGGAGTCCAGGCCATAAGCTACTGTTCCCAGGTGAAGTCGCTTGAAGACCATCTCGTTCTGTGTAAGAGTTCCTGTAACAGAAGCAGCACCAGGCATGGAGTGAGAGCCAACACACCTGTTCCACAGCAGACCTTCCCATCTTTGCTGCACCCCAAATTCAAGAGAAACTAAGCCAGCACCTGAATCAGTCACTGCACCAGGCTTACAGAAAAGGCTGAGGCCACCAAGAAAGACAATATTAACAAGCCTGAGGGCTGATTCTCCCTACAAGCAGTGGTGCGCATCACTGTGCCAGTAAATAAGAATGAGATTAACCCCAAAGTCGATGCCAGCAAAGGCTGCAGGCATAATTATGGTTCTGTTGGAACCAAAGACAACTAGAAACAGCTTCAATGGACCAGGATTTTATGTCAGACCAAGCTTTTCATTACAGCTTAGGTCTTGCAGCAAAGATGGATAGTATGCTTATGCCTGCACGTGTAAACTATCTTCATCTGGCTTTGAAAACTAACTCTAAGAAGTTGCTTTTATTCATACCCCGATCGTTGGTTTAATAGCATACTTCAAGTGATCTTTGAAGTAGCATAATATTTCTGCCCTATCCTACTTATAATGCATTCAGAACACACAAAAAAAGGCAGATTAAATTATACTGTCGAAGTGACGGGAAATGCGTATTTCTTCTAGTCCAAAGAAATCTTACATTATACTCTCTGGCTGGCCAAACCCATCACAAAATCCAAACAACAACATACCATGACTCTAAACCTCAGATGAAATACCTGTTTTGTCTGTAAGCAAATAGGATATTCTCCCCAGCTGCTCAGGAATAGTGCTGGACCGAACCACAGTCCCAGGGATTTTGGAATCTCTGCGGATGACCCAGCTGTAGACAATCTTCCCCATGTCCAGATTCACACGTAAACTATGCAGGAAGAAGAGGGGAAAAAGAACAAGGAAATGTATTGCCAGTTAAACTTTGGAAAAAGTCATCATGAACTGCCAAAGGAAGATGAAAGGACACTTCCTCCATGATGAATTTGAGCTGCCAAAGAGGGTGTCTCTGGAGAATTATATTTAAAGTCAGTGACTGTGTGGCAAATGGGGAGGAGGACTGTGCATTGCTGCAGTGGTACTGTAATTCAAAAATAGACGATAGAATTGAGAAGAACAGATATCATTTGAGTGGAAGATGGACACACACAAGTAAGGACACCATGACTGATACACAGACAGCACGTTAAAAATGGAACTGGAAATTAATTCCCAGACCTACAGTGAAAGTAACGGTCTACTTGTTAATACAGCACAATTAAACACTGAAGTTTTAATCTCCTCTAAAAGGCAACTGGGTCTTATCATGCTACGTGCTGTGTAAATAACACTTTTCCCCTTTTTGCTCTGCTCTTATCAAAGTACCAGGTAGCCCAAACACTGAAAGAAGGGGCCTTAAATGACTAATCCACAGACTGAGTTAGTCAGTGAACAGGGGAATATGCTGAACACATTCAGCAGAAACAACAAAGCAATTCTTTATGTTTGAACAGCAACTCGATTTCTATTTTTGGGTTTGCTTAGTTGCCAAACGCCCTCCTCCGACGAGTTCCTGATCATCGATGGGTACCCGCCCCCCGATGTTTATGTGCTTGTTCACACCAGAAGCATGGAGGAAGACACAAAGCAGGAACTATTTTGCTGGGTAGAATTAGAGAACACCTTACCTAATGGGAATGATGTTTGAGAACAGAAGGAGAAATCTTATGATCTGAAGATACCAGCGGCCAGCAAAGTGCTGAAGGGCCACCATGACAAGTGAGACAACCACAAGGGCCCCAAATAGGATCTTGGTAAGACAGTTCACTTCCAGATCAAAAAGACCAATCTAAAGAAATGAGAGAGACATTTCAAGCACACAAATGAGGATGTCAGCTCAATGCAGTATTCACAAAGGAAATCAACTGCCAAAGAGCCATTCCCCACTGGCCAACATCTCTTTTAAAACACTACAAACATTTAAATTTACAAACAATACTGTTGCCAGCTTCTTAAACAAGACTTCCAGCCTTTGAAAGCAAAGCAAGGCATAAAGAGGTGTGAGAGGACTCCTGCTGCCAAAACCTGCTGTCTATATAAACATCCCTGCACCTTGTCTTAGCTTTGCTATAATAGAAGAATGCAGCAAAATAAGCTTTCCTATTCTAACTGGGACTATTTCATTATAACAGTATAAAACAATGGTTTTACCAATCTTGAAGTGGTAAGACACATGTATAACAGACCAAAAAAATAAGCAGAAACAGGTTCTGCTATGGTGACTATCTTAAATCACAAGCTGGAAGATATGAATCATTATTCCTGTGAAGCTGTCCCTATAGCATGTACATACAGCATTCGGAAGGATTTCCTTTAAAATATTACAAGTTTCTGCCTCTTTTTATGTATTATGACTCTTTCCTCACCATACCTTACTTCTTGGGTTTGAAGTGTTCATCACACTGCGTAGTTCCCTTCCAGTGTAGAGGACAACTCCTACAACAGTACCTAAAGAAAACAGAGCATGCATCAGCAGAAGATAACCAAGCTCCATTAGTTTTCACTATAAAAATACTTGTTGGATCCAAAGGCTTGACAGTTAGGAAGGATTTTTAGCAGGTTAATTTCAGAAGCAATAGCAACCAGAAATTAAAAATGGTACCTAAAATATAAAACCTATGAAAACACAGACTTTGAACAGAAGATAACCTACAAACAGTCAGTTAAGACTTCAACCACGCTGCCCATGTGGCTGGACTTGATGCAGCATCACAGACTGCATCAACTAATGTGCATGGAAAGAGAAGTGAACTGCTTTGCTCTTTCCACTTTCCTTGACCCCCTTTTGATGTCACTTGTCTTGCTATAAATAGAAGTTGCCAAGGGTGGAGGATTTATTGGTTTTCCTCCCACCAGCAAGAATCCCACTTAGGTGTGGGTAAGTTTGCCTTACACTAGATAGTGGTCTGTCAAAATTAAAATCAGTGCTTTGGGCTACAGTTCTTTACTGGTGAAAACTGCCACAATCACAGTAAAATCAATTAATTCCAACAGCTTTCAAAGACAGAATTACCTTATTTAAAAATCTACAATTTACTCAGTATTTGTTTAATTGCTGCTCATACTGAAAGGCGAATCATACCAACTCCTACCTTACTGTAACAGATGGAGCTGCTGGGAGCTTACCAGGGTATTTTAATGCTATGTCCCACAGTTGCTAAACAGCTGAGAGCAACAAAGTTCTTCCTTTTCTCAAAGAAACATAATACAGTTTAGTACCATAAATTACTGGGTTTCTACCGACTTCTCTTACAGACTTTGCAAAAAGCCATAAAGAAAAAGCTATCTACCATCAAGAGTTTAAAAGCTGCTACTGCCAAAGTCTGATTCTAGTGTTTTACTAGAAAATCTTAGGAGTCATTAAAAATGGAGAAAAACACCACTGAAAAAAGCATTCCAGCAAATACAGTGCTATTTTATGCTCTGCTATTTCCCTGCTCCCAAAGTTTCAACAAGCTTCAAGTGAATTATTTTTAAATAAGACTGATTCAGAAGAGGTGGTTTCTAATAATACACTGGGAAACATTCCTTTGGAAAAACAAAACAAATCACCGGAGCCAGATGGCAGGTGATGGTAAGATCATCACAATTCAAATCAGCAGATGGCACAGCTACTCCAAACCAACTGCAAACAGTCAGTCAGACCCATTCCTACTACAGCAGATGGAGAAAGCCACATACCTCTGCTACGTCTTACTAGCAAAGGCTGACCCAGCAAGATGGCATCACCACAAGTTGACAGCTTTCACTTAAAAGAATATTCATGTTTTTTTCCTAACTGGAATAACCTAAAACATGCTATTTATTATCGCCATAGGAGAAACAAAACTGAGTATTGTATTGATCAAGTCAGTCAAAACGAGAGGAAAAACCTGCCAGGGCTAGAAAACAGCTTGAAGGCAGACTGGTATGTATATAAAGAATGTTTCCAGTTGTTTTATGGCCACTCAGAACAGACTCAATTGCAGAAAGCATTTGCAATTATGAAAATATTTGCAAGCATTATTCCTATTAACTGAACTCAAAGACGTCTATCTACAAAGAACATTGTTCATATTCGGCAGGGAGGACTGGATTCCAACAGGAAGTTCATTTGCGCAAAGAGGAGGTTGTTGCTTGCCCTGATACAGAGACAAAGACCACCCAGGACTTCTACACAGCACTGAAGTAATGACCAGGTGAGGCAGAGCATGCACCGTGTCCTCCTTTGGGGAAAAGCACCTGCACCCACTTGTATAATACACTCAGCTGAGTGTAAAGTAGAGGAAGAGCTTTGACAGCATTTGCCTCTGAATTCAGTAGAGCTCTTCACTGTAATACATTCCTATGTTAAACTTGGCCACTGCACTTTAATATCTGCAACAGTTCAAGTGCTGGTAAAAATTAAAGCTTTGATACAAGAGGCAAGAAAGCACCCCTGGGAAAGGGTGCTGTGGGGAGAGGAGCCATACAGCACACAGTCACAAAACAAATGGCTTTCCACTTCTCCATCTATTTTGCTCAAAAGCAGGATGAGCTGAGACTCATGTATTAAGCAGTCTGATGGGTACCAAAAACTGCCAGGCTGACTACATGTGTCTGCACTCAGAGGGGAGGAAGGTAAGGTACCTAGTGCATGGCAATCACTAATCTATAAACAGAATTTACTTGGTTAAATTTTATTTGGACCTTGATTAAATTGTATTTGGACAACTAGCTTTTTTTACAATCTCTTGCTCACAGCACTGTGACAACACTGTAATACACTTCAAAGAAGAGTCAGAGCAGGATTAGATAGAAACATATAGGAATAAAATTTATTTACTGTTTTCTGCTTTTAAGACAGCAAATCAAAACCTTTTTGGTGCATCAAAAACATCTTCTGAAATTCAAATTCCTACCTATTATTATCAATTCTATGTACACCCTGGTACCACACTGTCAAGGCTCTCCATCCAACAACTTTAATTCCAGAACCATATTACAGAATTTCACTCTCCTCCAGCTATTGCCCTGCAAACTTTGCAACACGCTGGACAGGAGAGGCACAAGGCTTTTACTTTGACAAGCCTCTACAAAAGGGCATTGATTAATCTCAAGCCTTGGGAGCTTATCGTATATAGAAGCCAAAATCTGTCAAAGAATTTTTTTTTTTCCTTTTTAAAAGTATATAAGACAAACTCAATGGAAGCACTTACCTGGAAATCTTTCATGTTAGCTTCTGTTACCAGAATCTATTTGACACCATTTCTGTTACAGATTAGGATGTCAATGTGGAGAGCAATTAAGTGCTATTCTGGTCCTAGATGCTAAAGTGCCCAAAGGCCACGCCAATTCTTTCACATCTAGGAATGTCCAAGAGGCAATTAGATGTCAGCTCAGCTCCCCAGAGGTGTTAGGACAAGTGGGAAACCTCATTCCAACTGCTAATTTCTCCAACTGACAGAGATTATTATTCCATTACAAGAAGACCTTTAAAAATTGTTAACATATTCCCTTAAAATAGATTTACACATGCCTCCATCTTACCTGATGCAATCACTGTGCTAGCCCACAGGGTGTTTTCTATACTTAAACTCTCATTTACTGGAGGGTCACTGTCTTCCTACACCAGGATAAAAGGAAAAATAACAGATTTGTCAGCAGTGCAAAAGATCAGTGTATGACAGAGTTGGTAGAGGGCTTCTTGATTGGACAGAGGACTTTGATAAACCCAGGTAAATCTCTGGTTGGGTTAAACACATGACCACTTTCTTGCAGTGGAACAGAAGGACTGGGAAACCAAAACCAACCAACCAAAAACCCCTCCATCTATTAAGATACCTCTGCCTGCTGAATGTCCCCAGGAATCATAAACGAGAAAAGGATTTATCAGCAGCTCTCCAGGGGCTACAGGAAACCATTCCCACAAGAAAGCACAACTGCTCTTAGGCACCAAAAGATTAATCCTACACAATTTTACCTTTGCATGAGAAAGTAAATTAATGTTTGTGCAGCCTTCTTTTACAAGAACTGCCTCCCCAAGCCACTCAAACTCCTCTTCCATGCCAGCACTATTAAACCAGATAAAACTGTGCCACATAAAGAGAAGAGGCCAAAACCTACAATTTTGAACTAAAATACCAGCAAACAACTTCTCTAAAGCTCCAATTTGTTACAGAATGATTTAGTCCTCTGAAAGCTCCCCAGGGGAAATCCTTGAATTGAGATGCATTTTAAAATTTTCATAATCTCACCAAGAGGAAGAAAACCCAGCCTTTTGCCCCAGGAAGCCAATGCAGCTTCCCAGCAAGACAAGAGATATGTATTTTAACAGTGATACTTCACAGTGGCTCTGAGCTGCTGCCCTCTGAAACAGGGGACAGACACAGAACTGAGTTCACACAGCTTGCATGCAATGGAGGGCAAAGACCCAACTGATTCAAAATTAAGACTGCTATTGCCTGACCTAGTTAAGATCCTCTGTCTTTTCACAGTTAAAGGATTTGAATCCTACAGAGTCCACAGTGGTCCAGGTTTCCTTCTGAACAGGCACCACTAATACACAACTACCAATCTGTCAGAGTGTTCAGGTCTAATACCTTCAGAGTAAGATCCTCAATTCCAAACAGCCTATGACATTGTTTCCAAGTCAAAGCTTCAATAATTGTATTTTTCTTTCAGATTTGATGGATTTTATGAAGGAAAAGTTAAAAAAAAAAATAAATAAAGACAGAAAAAAAAAAAAAAAAAAAAAATCCAAGAAGGAATGAGAATACAGACTTCACTTTCTCCTAAAAAAATTGGCAGCCTGGTAGCATTCAACAAGCTTGCATAGTGAACACTATAGATATGATTTCAAGTATGTCAACAAGACTCACCCTTGTGAAGGTCCCCACGAAGTTATGTATATCAATATTGGGTTCTTCCGCATATACGTAGGATCGGATTTGCAGCAGTTCCTGTAAAAGCCATGTTTCGGCAGACAGTTAGGCAACCACATTTTAATAATGTTCAAATGCTTCTACCAAAATACTTTGAGCAAGAGTTATTTATCAAGTTAAGATAATCACTAAATCATGTTACTTACTGGAACCCAGCTGTTTAAGAGAACATACAACTGATACACCAGCTTCACTGAAGAATATTTCTTGAACTGATGCCCGAGACTCCCAAGAGTTATTTAAATGTCAGTGCCCTCATAACAGAAATTTCAGCCCAAATACTCAAGACAGCCTAGGACACTTATTACTTTGTAGCAAAGAAGGTTTGGACTAGTCTTCTAAAGTAACCAAGGAACAGTTGTCTCTAGGAACAGTTCTGTGGTGACAAGAAGATACACCAATTCTTCAGTGTTTTTCACTGCTGACTCCTACACATGCACGAATTCCATGGAAAGGATGCCTTGCTTCAAAGCCTTTGTATGAAATAACCTTGCACAGATAGAACACCAGTAATGCAGGTACTCTGATTCCTGCTTTTTCTTGTTTTCTTTTTAAAAAACCCAAAAAAACCAGTAACACACATCTACTTCAGCACGTGATTTTGCGGAACAGCACGATTTATGAGGATGCTTATTTCAGATCATACAGTAGGGCTTCCACGGTGACGCTACTCCTTTCATAAAGGCAAGCCATGAAAACTTAACAGCCTCTGAAGCCATTCCATGGACTGTGCCTCTGAACATCCTGCTGTGCAAGGAATGAAATGGAGCATCTGAGAAGTACCATCACCAACGGTGCCTATTCTACAGGACCTGCAGTAAGTTACTGCAATGGTCTCTGGAGAGAAAAAAGAAAACAGGAGCATCCTACTATTAGCCACCTTCTGCTGCCAACCCTGGTGCCTATCTGCACAGCTCTGTGGCCACAGCCATGCAGCACAGAGACACCTAGCTTCACCTTACCTGAAACCTTGCCTGGAGCTTGGGAAGGGCTTGTTCAGCCTTATGTTTGTTGCCAAAGCTAATATTAGTGTAGCATGCACTGAGGCCTGTGCAGAACAATGCCACATTAACCCATTTCTCAAAACAGCCCATTAAGTGAAGCAGCATCCAAACATTTTTCAGGTCAAACAGATACACTTGTTTACCAAGTACAGTGTTTTGTACAAAGGCAGCTTACAGAAGCGGTTGGCAGCCTCTGAGTACAGGTAACAGGCAGCCGTAGTTTCCAGTCTGTCTCACCATCCAGCTGGTCAGTGCGAAGGAAGCAAGACCCTGCGGATTTTCAACACCAGTCAGTGCTCTTTCCAGATCTGTCTCAGGTACATCTATATGAAATGGCTTTATATCTACGACATCCTTCTTTCTTTACCAACAGTACCTGATTTCAAGTAATATCTGTGAATAACATTAAGATACTCTTGCATCACACATTGATTTCCTTCCACTGGTCCAGAATACAGTGAGACTCTGCACTGTATCTTTAAGACATTTCAAATGTTCTCATTAGCCTTTGTGTTTTCCAATTCTTCTGATCAAACATTTCCTTACCCCACAATTAACAAAACAAACCTGAAGGGCAAGTAAAATTATTTACATCTAAAATGCAAACTGTTATGCAACCAGATTCATTTACCCTGGATTCAACCACCTACATTCTTTGACAAGCAAACAAAACCAGAGTTTTTGTCAAGAAGCGGTAGCCCATAAACCCATTTGAATCCTCTGTCTCTCTAAAATTTTACTATTATCTATTTCTTTCACGTTTCCAGAAGATAATTTTCTCTAAACAACCAGTGAAAGGTTAATGGCTATTTTGACAATTGGTTCCAGATGTTTACCATTCTTCTCTGATGTCCTCAGGAAGATCATGTCAGCAGGGACTCGCTGGTTCTGTTAGGAGAAGAAAAGCCATTATTGTGTATACAGCCCTCCACGCGTGTGCAGCCGCCTTCCACAGCCCCACTGTGACAAGCAAAAGGGATATGGAAGAGAAAGAGGATTTCTTTGTCAAACTGAAGCTTGGTATTCATTTTGGTTTGAATCCTAAAATCACTTCCCTGAAGAATTCCAAGTACAGAATAATAACTGGTGCCAGCTCCCACTGACCAGACCAATCAGCTACTAGGTTTACAAAAGGGCTAGTGAGTAATTCTAGAAGTATGAAGACATTTTAAACTATTGCTGGTTTTGTTTCAAGAAGGCCCATGCTAGAAGAAAGCACGTATTTCAAATCTACGGCTACTATTCTCCTCTTCTTCTTACTGAATATTTTCATATTGATGGTTTTCGAGGTCATAGCTGCTTCCACAGAGTGTGAAAACAAAAATCAGTGGCTAAAAAAACCCACACAAACTTGTAGAAAGGTGGAAATATACCTGTAACAAGCCACTGTATCTCCCAATACTTGTGCTGCTTACACACAAAGCAAAATCTGGACCTTGCATTGGTATCAAGTGTTTAACCTGTGTCCCACAATCACAGATAGAACCAGGGAGGCTTTTTGTCTTGATATAGTGTAAGTGGAAAAATTAGGTTATTGCCGCATATCTACAGATTTGCACTCATTTGTAAAGATGACAAGGCTGTACTGGGGGGGGAGCAGAAACCCTGGAAAGTTATTAAATATTTTAACTAGTGCTCGTTACTTGATGTTCTAAGCCTATATAAAACAAATATGACTTCAAAACATCTCATTTTCTATGGTCTTGCAAAAAAGTACACAAAAACAATACACATAAAGACTAACCTTTTCAACAATGATGAGGTCACCTACTTGTATATTAGAGCTCTTCACCTTCACAGTACCTGCAAAGGAAAGTTATCAGTGCATCAGAGCAGCAGTAGCGCAGGGTTTGTGGGTGCTGTGCAGTGCTCCTTACATCCCTTTCTTCCACCTCACTATTCTGGAGAAAATGGGTAATGTTTCTGTTACAAGAATTAAGCAACACTGCCCTGTAAAGACTCATCAAGCCCGTAGCTCCCACTGGGTAAAGCACTGGGTCTCAATCTGTGAAAAGGGCTGAAAGCTCTCATCTATCAGCTCCAGATCTCACCCTTGGCTGCAGGAATCCCCAATCACTCTCTGGCAACCACTCTGAAACAAGCCCTTATGTTGTACCACTTAACCCAAGAATTCAAAAACACTTTGTGTCAGGCAGAAAACAGAAGCAACCATAGGAAAATTACAGTAGGGAACCATCGGCTCCCAACTTCTTTCCCTTAAGTAGCTGAAAGTTTAAAGCTCAACACTCAAGCCAAGATCTAGAAGCTGTAAGGTACAATGGGCCCATCTTAAAGAATAGGCTCATTTCCTTCCGCACCACAGCTCTTGTATCTGGCTCAGCTCTACCACCTCTCCGTCGCCTCTCAATGGACACAGCCTGAACAAGCCCTGTATAGTACAGGTCCTACAGAAAACACGTAAATATTTATTTCTTTGCAGCTGTCAAACATTTCCCAGTTGCTTTAAAACAGGGGATTAATTTAACAATTGGCTAGTAATTTTAAATCATTAGCCAGCTCGAGATTTGGCTTCTCAGAGTAACTAGTGATTTATAATCAGTTAATTTGAACCCTGCCTCTATGTGTCTGCCGGTTATATTTCAACAAAAGACTCTTTAATCTGCTGTGATTTGAGTGGAAGTGGGGGAGGCACGTGGAGCTCACCCCAGCATGGACAGCACCCCTACTGTACCTCAAAATTCATGGGCTAACTGGCCAGATAGCAGCTCAGGGGGAAAGGAGAAGGGGGAAGGGAGGGGGAATAGAAATTAGCACAAAGCACAAAGGTCACCAGGATTTTACTACTGGCAGTCCCTTCATTAGCATCCTTCTCAGGATATGCTTCAGTGTTTCTGCTCCAAATTAACAATGAAAGCCATTCTGGGCTCCCAGCAGCCTGCTGCTTTGGTGACACACTGTGTGCTTAACAACATGCTTCATCACTGCTGCTAATAAATGCAGACTTCCTTACATGCTGTAATTATTCCTACAAATTATAAGCAGTCATGGCCCATTTCACAAATATCTCATAGGTCTTCCATGGATTCTAGGTTTTGCCTTGTGAGATTTTTAGTTAGAAAAAAAGGTAAACAAAATGAATGCTGGGCTAAAGACATCTCTGCCGGGGCAGGAAGCATACCAGGGATTAAGAGTCCATTACGCAGAGGCTTGAAAAGAAAAGCCGCACTCCAAGAGGATCAAAAAAAGCATCCCTGGCAGTCTTCTGTATGGGCTACACAAAGTTAGGTACTATGACACTAAAAGGGTCTGACAGATAACATCTCTTCCTCCCCTTTTAATACGGTTATTCACAAAACAACAAAAAGTGCTTTTGAATATTCTCCTGTGCAAAGAAGGGAAAAAGCCCCCATGTGCTCTCCCCACACAGGAACAGCAATTCCTAAACCACTGTGCTCTTGGAAGGAGAGGTGGATTTGTTTAACCATGTTTTATGTATTTCTCTTAAAGAGAAAGGATTTATTCGGTAACTGTCAGTGTAGGAAGTACTATCTGCAGGGTTCAGGAATAGAAACTTATTTTTGTAGTGCTTTCCTTAATGATGTAAATTAATGCTGGAAAAGAAAAATTAACACCTGGGCAAAGCTACAACATGATGATTTCCTATCATTACACACATAAAAGGCTTTTTGGATCATTATTCCTAAAGCAATTATCATCTGCTTTTAAATATTTCCAATTTGAGAAAAATCAAAGCAGCTGGAGCAGATTTGTCTTGCTCAATAACCCTCCCAACCTCAGCTGTTTTAAGGTAAAAGAAAGAGAGGACCTTTCTAACCAATGCACATTTTTATAACTCCTGTATAAATGAGATGCCCTATTTGGGTAGCAAAGCTAATTTTGCTTTTCCAGCCATACTCCTGGCCTCTCATGGATGAGATCTCTGCAGTATATACCACACGTCCTGCTAAGAAGGCATGGGACCAGATGTTTCCTTTGACTCAGGACTCCCATAAAGCAACTTACTCAAATTAGTTTTATTTTGATCTGGGGAATTCTGTAATCCCTTTTTCTTTCTAGGGGGAAACTCCCTCCTAAACATTAGATGCTCTCATGCATGTTTAAGAAATTAGCTAATAACACAACTGCTTCATTTCCCAGTATTGCTCTGCTAATTAAGTATTTCTGGAGTAATAAATTACTGCTTTTATAAATGCACCTAAAGAGCTTCTTCTAAATACACACAGGTTTATTTAGCACTTACAGTGTGTATTTAGCACTTACAGTGCTAAATACAGTTCATATTTTCTGAAGTTAATCAGAATACAAGTAGGTAATTAAAACAGTTTTAAAAAGCAACTAGTCTTGATCTCTTATGTGAACAAAACCCTCTGCTCTTCAAATGGGATTGGTATTTGCTTCATTCTTTGCTGTATCCTGACAGTGAAAACAAAAAAGTAAACATAACAGAATGCAAACAGTTTGCTCCAACTTAAGCTCTGGCCTTTGAAATGATTACAAAACCTGCAGTGTGATGGATGTACCATAAAGCAGATTATTTAAATACAGCCAGAAGAAATGCCTTTTTCTACCATGTGAACACTTAAGATTTCACAACAGCTCCGCAGAGCTTCACTAAGGTACAGCTCAAAACACTTAATTTGGAATTAAAGACAAAGCCAGAGGTTTGTTAGAACTAATTAAATGCATCTCTAAGAACAAAAAAGGTTGTTTGGATGTGCTGCACCAAACTTCTGGCTTTTGCAGCCTTATGTATAAGGCTTATGTATAAACTGTAGAGCAGGACTCAGAGGGTTTGGGAAAATATTGTTTTTATATGGCTGGTAAATGCCAATGATCTGTATCTTAAGTAGCACCCCTCAGTAGGAGGTCTCTTCCCATTTCTTTCTGTGGAGTTTCTCTCTATTATGCAGTGTTACCCAGGGAGGGGGGGCTGAAAGAGAAGAAAAACAAACCAGGAATTTGCAAGCCCAGTTCTAGCTTTCTATCAAGCAGAAAGTCAGCACACAGACTTCTGCACACAAGGAGGCTTGTGGGTTTATGAATAGGGGATTGAAATCTGATTATTTTTTATTACAATCCAAACAACTGTCCTGTAAATGGAGAACTTTCCATTTTTAAAAATGCTTTCCAGAAGTCTGCTGGTTTCATCACTTTGGAAAATAAAAGGATTGTATCGCCAGAAAAAGAGGCTCAGGGTGGAGGTTTTTTGATGTTACATGAAATAAAGGAACGCAAAAAATATAATCCTGTCTACTCAGCCTCACGCTACCCTCCAAAAAGATTAGTCCCCAGAATTTAACAACTGTATGAGAAGATGTGACCCAAGCGGATTCTTCCTTTTTCTCTACAAAGCAAGCAGCTTAGTGAATCTTAAAAAGCTTAACAAGAAGAGTGTGTGAAACAAGTTTATGTACAGCAGCAAACCTGTAAATCCAAACTACTCGCCAGAGGTAGGGACCAGGCTGGCAGGAGTGCTGGAGCTGTTGTGCTCCTGACTGGAGGCAGGAGCTGTGCGCAGCCATTCCAGCCCTGCCTCTGCTCAGGGCACAAGGAACTGCACACAAAGGGGACAAGAGGATCTCGGTTTGGGAAAGCACTTAAATCTCTGCTTACTTCTATCCCTATTCAAAACTGCGTATAAGCAAGTGCTTAAGTCTGCCTGACTTCATTCAGACCTAAGTATGTATTTACATCTGTGAGGTTGCACTGGGAGGCCAGGGTTAGAGATGGGAGACAGCTTAGTGCAAATACTCAGGAGAAATAAAAAATAGCTTGGAGAAAGTGCTCCATTAGATCCATTATAGCCAATCTTCAAGACACCAGCGCTCAGTGTCAAGCCTCACCAAATCTCCCTCTCCCAAACCACTGGCTTTAGAGGTGAAAATATTGTGAAGTTTGAAAAAAAAATAATAATACATATAGCAACACTTCAGCTGGCTTTTGTGCATCTGTAGCCTTCTGCCCCTATTCAGTACAGGGCTATGCCAATATCCTGAAGCACGAATTGTGCTATTTAACGCAAAAAAAAGCAAAATGCCCGTAAAAGTCCAAGGCAAAACCTGGAGTTTTATCACTCACATTGAAAACTAAAGGTAAAGATGAGCTGTTCTCAACTTATTCCGATTCCTTCAAAGCTTGCCTACTTTCCCCAACTGTATTAATAGGTACAATAAACCAAAGCCAACACTCTTCCACCCCTCAGCCATGGTGGCTGCACAAGGTACTTTCCTGCTTCTAGGTTTTTAATCAGTGGAAAAGCAGGTGCTCAGGTCTCCTGAAAAGTTTGAATACTGAGATTCAGAGAAAGACAGAAAATTACTTTTCTCCCCAAACCACAAGACAATCACAAATAATTTCCTGTGGTTTTCCTCATCAAAACTATACTGCTGGAGAGTCTCGCTCCTCTTTCTGCACCAAATTCATATTAAATAAAGTGCCTTAAGATTTTCAGCTATTTCCCAGCTGCCAATCCTCCTTGGTTTCTTTCAGAAAATTAGAAAAGTTAAAGGACTGGGGGGAGGGAAATCATTCATGGGAAACGTAACAGCAATATGAAAAGAACTAAAGGAGAGGTCAGGCCCCTTATAGATCATTGAATAGAATCCAGAAGGCAACTCTTTTATATCTTTAAATAGATCTAGTACACCCCTCTTGGATGAAGCTTTTGTTGGTTGCCAAGCATTTTAAGTGTTGTCATAAGAACACGTTATTAAAAGGGGATTTAATATTCAGAAACTCAAACTCCCTAGTTCGGAGTTGCCTCATAATTCCCGGCATGTGAAATACATACAGCCTTAAGCAATTATGTTTTAAAAGCAGCCTTATTCCTAAAAGCGTAAGTGTTGATAGAAGCATATTTTTACTACACCCAGTTCACAGCATCTTAATTCAGGGGCATAAACCTTCATAACAAAGAAACTGGAAATGAGAAAAAGAAGTTGCTTAACTTCAGTTCATTCCCTTGTTAAAAACAAAGCCCTGGCCTCACCATCATTGTCAAGGTATTAGGAGAAACTCCACAGCAAGGCAGCATTCTATTTTTCAAATGAGAATTTAAATGTCTTTGTTTGGTATGGCACAGCTATAAACAATGGCCAGAGCCAGGGATCAGACACAGCTGAGGCGCAGCCTGGGCTCACTCATAAGTGAGGTCTCAAACTCCTCACAGTTTGAAGAAGGGGCAATATTGAGGAACTCACCAATATTGAGGAACTACACCAACTGCTGCTAACAGAAGCACAAAAGCTGTGGTAACATATCACACAGTCTCTTCTAGCAAAGGACTTGCATGAAGTAAGTCCCTGTCTGGTACAACACAGAAAAAAAAATATGAAACTCAACAGGTACTGCACGTTCGGTAAGTGATGGAACACGTCATTACATCAAGCAATTCACTTTAACACATGCACTCACAAGCTCCTTCAGTACACAGAGTAGTTAACTACGACTTGTGGTACACGTGCTCAAAGGGTCCCGAGTCCTAAGACACCAGAACACAGGCTACCTTCACCCCCATTAACTGACTCTCCCTCTGCATAACCATCACCTGACAGTTTCACAGACCTAGTTTAATTCTTCCAGTAAACTGCTTTTGGAGATGATCAGCCTGTGTGGATCCTCCTCCCTTTTTTAAGCACACATTTATTGTTTCCATTAAAGAATATATATTGGTACCTTTCACCGACAGGGCAAGAAAAAACACACACGGGGGAAGATGATCTGGTTTTGGTAACAGTGTAACACAAACAAACAAGTAGAACCCAGACATCATATCACATCTACTATAGCTCCATTCTTGTTTTCTTCCTACTATGCTGATTGCTTTATTTGCCTTCATCTATACAACTTTACAGAGTGCTTCTCTCACGTCACAGCTTTGCAGGAAGGAAAACGCATTTCCCTTCTGGAAACACCCACCTCCACAACCTAGAGCAATTCAGATCCAGTTTCATTTTCTTTGGTGACTCCAATCACCAAGAAGGGACAATACTGCGATGATGTTTTGGACTACACTAGAGTTCCGAGCAAGCAGGGTTTAGAACTATCCCATCAGCAACTTGGAAGTTCACCCCTGCCTGGCGCTGGCTGCAGTGACCTCCCAGCCAACCGAGCAGTCTCCCGCACATGTAAACGCATGGGGCTGCCCTCTCCCCATGCCCTGAAGCTGCCAAGATGATGCTCTGCAGTTATTTGAAGCAATTAACACACACTCGCCTCACATTAGCTGCTCATCTCCCTAGGAAACCCTCAGCAAAGCCCAGCATCCACCACACCCTGGCAAGGAGCCATCCGTGAGAAGCCACCCGGCCCCCCGACGGTGCAGGAGCAGCAGCGTGGCCACAAAGCCACGTGCCTGCGAGCCCATAACCCCCTCCCCACTCCTTGAACTCTGCTTCTCCAACTGTCAGCAGCATTTGATTGAGTTGCAACCCCCGGTGCTGCCGCGGCCGCGCCGGGATGCAGCGGGCACGCTGGAGCCGCCGAGCCGACCTCTCGCTGTGAGCTTGCTGTAGATCTGCGAGTTCACTTCCTTGTCGCGCATGTAACATCTGATCTCCTCCGCGGCCTCTCGGATGACGGTAACAGCAAGCACAAATCCCTAAAAGGAGCATGGAGGGGGGAACAGAATGGATGCAAAGGTCAGGAAAAGAAATCACATCTGCCTCTAATAAGAGCAGCATTTATCAGTACCAATGCCAACAATCTGCATTTCCTTATTCTATCTTCTCTCACTAAATCATTATAGTGATGTTATGTGCTGCTGAGTGGAACTCCCAATAGCAAACTGACAACAGACCTGTTGTTTAAAAAACCCTGTGTTTTTTTCTCAGCATTACCACGATGCTCTGCCAGTACTTCCCCCAAAAAATCTTTGTAAAGTTTATCTTAAGAGTTTAAATAACACCCACTGCACATCACAGGTGAGTAACCAAGACTGAGAGGGGTTACACAAAAGTGCAGTGTAACACAGGATCCCTCAAATCTCAATCCGTCACAGAGCCATCAAAATTAGCTCATCTAACCTGGGAGACTTCTTCATATAGGAATCTATAGGAACACTTTTTCCTATATACAGATATAATGCATGTGTATACATACACTCAGCCTACACAAATAAGCACCCTAAATACATTAACGTGAACTACTCATAGTATAATTACACATTTGCCTAATTAGGGTTTCAGTCCTACTTTTCTGTGGATGTGAGAAGACATTTCATTCCTCTTGTCATGAGGAAAATGCCCACATCACATCACTATATAAAAAAAAAACCAAATGAACACAAAATTCTTCATGGGGCTAGTACTACAAAGCAGATTTTTCATTAGGCACTATTCAGCTCAGGCTCACTGAACAGTTAAAACACTCTTCATTCATTACAGAAGAAAAATGAACTTTTTACAACCTGTATGCTTGAAAATTGCAACCATGTACTGACTGCTAATAAGAAACTTCTTTATTTTAACAAGGGGGCAGGGTGATGTTAGAAACTGGGGGTTACATGAAAACCACATGAAAATATCTGTAAATAACCACCTATGCAAACAGGAGGCTTTGCCAGTGGGTTGTAATTTCCAACTTTAAGTAACTTCATTTTTAGAAAGAGCAGCTATGCATACTCCTCCAAAAACTGTGTGTATGAGCTCAAGCTGGGTCTTGCTATGGAGCATCACTAACACTAAATAACAATTCAAATGCTCACATATTTTAAAACAAAGAAAAATGCTGATGAATGACCTAAGAACTACTAAGACGGAAGGAGAGCAGTTTCCTTAATTATTAAAACACTGAAGTACTTCACCTGCCAGTTCTCACAACCCTATAATAAACCCAGAGAGTCCCTAATTCTAGTAGTAAGATCTAGATTAATTAATGTCAGTATTTAAATGCAATGTTGTGGGTTTCTGCAGTATGTAAAAATTAAGACACATGAAGAAAAACCCAAGGATGGGCAATCATTTTCTTAAAAAATGTCTGTATTCAATCCTCTATTTACAAACATTGAAAGTAATAAGCCATTAATGCAGTATTTTCAGAGAAACATTTCACCCCCCAGCATTCAGTACCACAACCATGTGTTCTGCACAACTGTGGAACATATCTTACCCATAATCAACAGATCAAGAAAAGAATGGACATTTCTATTTACAAGTGGCATTTGTGCCTTTAGCTAGAAATTCCTATCCGCTTTCCAAAATAAAACACAAAAGCATCAGTTATTTTCAACTCATGTTTCAGCTGCTTGAAGAGTCTTCAAATAATCACCCCAAAATATTCCCACATGTGCTGACTCACTGTGTCATCTCATATATCATTCCATCCCCAACACTCACATTAGCAGCCAGTAATGAACAAAGACCTTTCTTATCCTGCTTTCTGGCAGCTCATATGCCAAATTCTAATTGCTCACCTGGCAAAGACAAGTCTTAACTGCTTATAGAAAAGCCAGAGAGATCCTCTGTGTGCATGTATACTTTATTTACAGGACAGGATCTTATGAAACTATCAATAGAGTCATACAACAAATGCAGCATGGCATACACTTGAGGGAGAATTCAGTGCGATCCAGCCTTTAACACAAACAGATTTTTAGCAGCAATATCCCAAAGCTTTCTCCTTTGCTTCTTTCTGAATTTTAGCAGGAATTTCACTGTTCTGAAAGTATAAGGGGAAGAAAATAAGTTTCCTTTGTCACTCCTGAGCTCCCTCAATAAAGCCACAAATTTTTACCACCACCATTTCTCAAATCACTGCATAAGTAGTGTCTTGAAAGAGCCCTGTGCTTTTTATTTAAATCAAATTTCAGTTGGGTTTATGTCATTTCTTTAAAGTAAAAAGGATGTCTGTCCTGGGAGATTTTCAAAACTCAGATGAGTTAAACCAACCTAAGTTTAAAGACAGCCATGCTTTGAGCAGACAGTTGGAACAGAGGTCCCCCTGAACCAAAATTATTCTACAATACTATGAGCTGAAGTGCAGCAGAGCAGCTTTTCACATAGAAAAAGAAGTAAGTTTTACTGTGATAAAAAATGTAAGTACATATATTTAAGCATTTAAGCTGTTTAACTGGCTCACACAGTGCATTTTGTAGATTTAAGAAGCCGATTCCATGCAACTATTCCTTTTTCTGCACCGGAGTTTCTGCCTCAGAACTGGTTATTATTGATTTCCTTTCATTACAGGTGAAACACACAGCTATCAAAGGGCAAGTAGTTTTCAGGAAGGAAAGAGTATCTGCACCTTGAGCCAGTATAGACATCTCCATATATTGATTTTTATACATGGGAGGTTTGTGGTGGTGGGCTTCTCAGTTTTCTCATTTGTTTTTTACAATGTAGTTAAACTATGAAGCAGCCTGTTGACCTATCCCAAGGCAGCAGGTCAAACTGTTTGACAGGGGAGCATAATTTGCCATCGTTGCACATATGGCCACTCATTAAGGTCACTTTTGAAAGGTGCCCCTCGTCCTTTGCTGCTGTTGCCAGGCTGGTCCAGGCTCCCATAAGCGTGGATCACCCAAGGAGGGTGCAATGCCCCATGCAGACCACCATGAGCACACCCTTTGTTTAGATGCAGCTGTGAACAGCACAAACATTGCCAGGGAAAGATATTTGCTCCAGCCTCCATTTGTTTTCTCATGTTATTCACAAAGGCCTGCTGGCCTTGCAGTCACTGCATCCAGTGATGAAAACTCTGTGCCCATTAACATCTCACAAATGAACAAGTTGGGGGCAGAGTCCTCTCACATCCCTGTGAAACCTCTACAAAATAAAGCTTAAGTCCAAAACAGGCATCTACAATACAACACATACGGTGTAAGCCTGAAGAAATAAGCTAACAAAATTAGTTATGGTGCAAGCTTACACCCTACAGAAAGGGCAGCACAAGAAATTGTGTCAAATACAAACTTTCTTGAGTGAATAAGCCATAAATGACCTACCAGAGGAACCCAGTATGTGTAAAGTGCGCCAAGCCTCATTTCAACGACAAATTGAGAGCAGGCCAAAAGCAAGAAATAAAGGTTGAAGAAGTATTTGAACTGGTTGAACAGCACCTAAAAAGAAAAAAGGGAAGAGAGTAATGAAGCTCAAAAGTTACGAATATTAAACTAACAATCAAAAACATTTTTCTATGCTACTTTAGTGTCTAAATAACTTAGGGCAGTGTTAAAGTAGTCCAGGACAGATCAGTGTCTGGTTTGCTGCTGCCCTAAGGCAGCCTTTGCAGGAGGCCGACCAAACACAACCTAAAACAGCTCCAAGTTCTGCATCTGTCTACTGTAAAACCACTGAAATTAGGGAAAGCTTTCAGGTGGGATAAGGAAAAGCAACTTTCCTCACACTTACCCCAGGGAGAAACGTAAAAAAGTTGTACTTTTGATTGTTGATAACATTGCGAGGGTATCTCTGGTCTCTCTTCTCTGGATGGCCAAGCCAAACTGTACGAGGCCTCGGGTCTCTCCTTCCACAGCATCTTAAGCACTGACAACACCTATAGAAGGAACATTAATTAATAAGTTAATTTTTAACATAATTCTCTGATACACACACACCCCCCAGACCCTTGCCACCAGCCAGCACAACAGCTGAGCATCACTTCTTTCTCAGTCACCCCTTCTGGTGAGACTAGAGTTTGACTTTCTACCAAATACAGCCACTCCAGACCTGCCTTGCAGTCTACTGAGCTGCGAGCAAACATCTCATATGGTGTTGGAGCCATTACTACATCTTTGCTTTCAAGAAACCAACGTATGGAGAAGCATGAACCAATCACTGCTGACTACTGGGAGGGCTTCTACCTCCTGCGAATAAAAGAGCTCCAGGAAGCAAGGAGTATGGGGTACAGGCAGAAAGGTCCCCCTTGCACTGATCCTGGATTGCAGGTTTTATGCCACAAAGCTCTCATTAAAAAAGTAGCTGCAGTGCTTTCTAGTCTTTCTTCTGTTTCCTTGTTGAAACTCCTTGAAACTCCCTCAAACAAAAGGGGGCTTTCCCATTTACAAACTGAACTTAAACAGGAATGCATATATGTAGAACGATCTCATATGTCTTAAAGAGATGAGGTGGAGACAGAGATGCTTCTCTCCTTTCCTGCAACCCCTGCTTCATAGGAATTTGCACCTTTTTAACAGAAGAGTTTAATATTTGCATATTTGAATATTTGCACTTTAAAACAGTCTTGCCAAGGAATAATAATGTGTAATCCTTTAAAAATTAAACCTTACAAGGAATCTGAAAATGGATGGAAAATGATTACAGATTTTATTTTTATACAGTATTACAGTCATTAGCGGCATTTATGTTAATAGCAGATTTTGTGTTATCTACTAATGAATAACACATTCTCATTGACGAAGGACATGCAGATCCAGCCACAAGGTCCTGGTTTGTTAGTTTAGCTGTAGTCACTTACATTTTCAGCTCTTGAGATGACCGTCCCACTGCAGCACCACCGCAGAGTTCAGGGCAGCCCCAACCAATGCCTGGACCCAGTGCCATAAACCCAAATTGCCAGAGAAATGGATACAGGAATATAAATCCATCCTATTTTCAACCGGACTAGTCCAGTATAACCTCTGCTCTCTTCCTTTCCCTGTGTTTTTTTCTACTTTGTCAGCAGTATCTTTGTTCCTGCTCTTAAATATTGTCATGACACAATTATCCAGTTCAACAATCACCTTTTATATCTTGTAATGCCAGTTTCCCAAAACCCCCTTCAAATTAGAATAGGAACACACTGGTATCCTGACTATTTACTTTTTCAGCTCAGTCTTACATTAAAGCCATTTATTTAACATCATTTCTGGCCTTTCCTAAAAGTTACATGCGCATTCAGGAAAGCCAAACCAAGTTCACTAAAACTGATGTGGTCACTAAAGGATTTTCTCTTCTCTCTGGGGAGATATTTAGTATCTAGGATATGAGATGTGAGCTAAGCTAGCTGTGAGCGCCTGTTCAAACCACCAGCACACAACACCTCACCAAAGGTCCTTTCTGCAGCCCCGACACAGTCAGTGCCTCCACCTCTCCCTGGTGAAGGAGACAACCAGAGTCAATAAATAAATCCCAGCAATAGCATGTATTTGAAAATATCCAAGTTAAAAATCTTCTCTGGAACACAGCTGGGTGTCATACTTAAATAAACTGCATCCCCTGTTTTGGGAACAATTGCATGGCCTACAAGCTTCAGGCTAGAGGTTGCTTTTCTCAACCAAAAAGATGCTAGGATGAGGTGACAGGAAACATTCTGTAGAAGAACATGAAGGATTAGTGTGCAATTTGTTAAATAATGGTAACACCTGAGAACCAGGCTTTCCACAGGTTGCCTGCCACCAGCTCAGGGCACCTCATGGGGCCTTCAACCTGGCTGATACAGCCAGCAAAAACCCAGCTCTCACACAAGATTTAGTGAAGAAGACTGTGTACTGCTCAATGCAACAAATACTGACATGAGGCAATGAATCAAACAGAGCACGGTTACTTTGCAGGGGATGCAAGGACTTACCAGCAATCCCTCCTGTACCTTAAAAAAGCCTCTCTACTCAAGATTGCAGCATTGTGCCCTTCCAAAGCCCAGAAGGGTTATTTTTCTGTTGTCACTGCTTCTCACCGAAAGCCAATCTCTTCCCAATCCCTCTTGTTCCTTTAAAAACACACCTATTGAATTTCATTGACATTTGGGAAAGCCAGTGTCAGCTAGATGGATAACCAAAAGCTTCAGAGCTCTTACAAGCATCTTTCCAGAAACCACTGTTAAGATCTGTTCTTCAATCACAGCATTCGGCCACAAAAGTCCTATCAAATACACAGCTAACCAAAGGAGTAACTATTTAAGGAAGTACACAAAGCATTTGGCCCTTGAAGTAACCATCTTGATGGAATATACATGCAGCGTGTTAAAACAGTTTACAACTCACTACACAGAAGGTGGTTTCCTACAAAGATTCCGAGTTTTATGTTTCATGCCCCACTGGATGCAAATAAACCGAAAGAAGAGTTTTCAGTTCAGTCGGTTCCTTCTGTACAGGAGAGGAATAGAAATCAACTTTGCTTCCAGAAGTAAAGGTTTCACCATGTGTTTCAGTGCTCCATGAGCTGACACAGACGTTAACTTCACAAGGCTGACTTGTAAGACAATTTCTCATAAGCTTTTAAAACTAGACATAAAGGGATTTTTGAAAAATCACATTACAGCAACATTATTATATTTCATGAAGAGTAACAGATAAACCCAGAAAAAGTGGATTTTCTCTAGCCTGTACTCAAAACCAACCTAAACCACAAGCATAGAGATGACACCCAAACACAGGAGAGGTTTCCTTGTTCAAGGGAGCTTTGAGACTGAACTGCTGACAAGACAGCAGAGTGCTGCATCGCACCCACACATTGGTACTGAAGGAATATGAAATCACAAGTTTTGGATGGTGCTGAACAGTCTCTTACCAGCTCTAGTTAAATCAAACCCTCCATTCTAAATCCAGAGTACGTAAAATCCCCCAATTTCAGTAACTATCCTACTGCTTTCACCTACATGCATTTATCACTGGCCTTCCAGAGGTCAGCTTTACCAAAGCCCCTGCAGTTGTCAACTTTGACTTGCAAACTGTTCATTTGCCGAAGAGGAGAAAATGATGAGAATGCAGGAAAGCCTGACAGAAATAAACACAGTGGGTAATGTGAACAGTTCAAAACACTGATACCTGTGATCACCTAGAGCAAACTACCGGAATAAAATAACTGGGGATGCTTTACTGTTCAGGCATCTGACATTCTACAGACTTGCAGCACCACTACTGCCATCTCTGCGTACCTCTATACAGACATTGCCTGTTACTCTGCATTTGTAACATTTCTAAGGCACGGGATTTCCATCTCTGACTACTCCCATAATTAGCATAAGTACCCTAAATGTAACCCACTCCAAAAACTTACACTTGCCCTTGAAACTATTGATTTTTGTCAAAAATAAAACCTTTTTTTTTGTTGTTAAGAAAACCTAACTCATGGATCTGTCTTCCCCACACAGCTGTGCGTAATACCCAGATCTGAAAGGCAGTTACCAATATGAGACAAACAGTATAGTGTAAACCACTCATATTTATAAACTCTACTACAGAAGCATATTTCAGTAGCTTGACACATTTTAATCCAGTTTTCTTTTGTGTTTGCAGATGAAGACCTAAGACAGCCACTTGCATCCCAAATATTTTTAATGGAAAATAGTGGTATTTGGATCACAACAGAAATTAGATATGCTCTATAAAAAAATATATTTTTTCCATGACAGAGAAAACACACAAGATTAGCCTTGAGTCCATGTTTGAATGACTGTGAATTCAGAATGACCTCTATGATAAGGCTCTAAACAAGAGGCTTTGCCCAAGGGAGCAAACTTGGTATCCCCACACCCTATTTCATCATCAGAACATGCTTCCCAGTTACAGAAAGAGTCAGGCAGTCCTTGTAATGAGACATCTGAAACCAGTTACCTTTGTTTATTTTTTAGGTTGGGCCTCTTCTAGGGATTGTACTCAACAGCAGAAATACCTACCCACCTATACCATAATATTTCCAATAGGATAAGACTCAAAGAGGGCACTACTACAATTTAATATATTTTTACTTGTGCTGAGAGGTGTTTTTTTAAAATACACTATCACACTCCAAAGAACTTTCCAAATATCTGGGCAGATCTTCAAACCAGTGCCTAAATCTCTAAAGCAGATTTCTAGCCATTTTAGTAAGTTCAGTGACTTATCAGTGTTTTTTTCTTCATGAATGTGTAAGAAAATGGCAAATGAACCCCACAAAATCAGAATGTTTTACCTTAGGAAGAATGTGCTCTGCCCATCTGCTTATATGCAATTATACTGCTTTTAGTATTTTCTTTTCCTAATTACTATGAATTCACTAGTCTGTGAATGCTAACGCCTAGCTCTGCAAAATTGCTTACACTTGTGTGGTTCTAAATGAGAGGGCAGATCCCAATACTGACAGCACAGACAAAGGCAGGGAAGCAGAAGGCAATTGCACAGAAGTAAAATTACCCCAAATTTAGCACATATTCCAAGCCCTGACCTCTTGTAGTGTTCCCAAAGATACTTGTTGCTTTGAGAATTTTAATTTACAAATGCTGTGTTACTATAAGTTTTAGAATCAATCTAAAAATAATGCAGATCCAAGTATAAGCAAGAAGAGACATGGGAGAATCTGCTGTGAGAAAATAACAGTTCTGTGATATTCCTGCCTGGCTGGAGTCACCGTTTTCGCAACCTCCTGAAATACAGGGAAAGCAAACGGCAAACTGAATTAGGCAAACAAAAGAAAAACTTCCTGCCCAGCAAGCTTTTGAAGGTGATTGCCTGTAGTATCAACGCTCTAGTAAAGAATACGCAGCAGTTCTACTAAGAATTCTCCTACATAGCATGAGGCTTCTCTGCAATGTAAAGGAATCCATTGAAAATACCAAAGTCAACCAATGAACGCAATACT